TTTTATATAACCATTCTAATATTCCATAAGGCTCCACACTTCTTACAAAATCTTAAGGGCTTTTTGATGAAATAGATAAAGATGCATGTGGAATCTTTTAACAACAGAATGATTGTTAGCTTAAGGCTGTGTACCTAGTATTAAAAACTTGACAAAGTGCTTTTATTTGGTATTCTGCACATATTCTCAGAGCCACGCTTAATTGCCAAGCAAAATTTTATCTCCCCTCTTTACGCCTGCTGATGTAAAAACATGGATGAGGAAGGTTTGGGCGGAGCCTTGTTGTGTAGTGCAAAGGTTGAAAGTACAATGAATCTCCAGAAACTCTTACCCCAAATTCACCATTTTAATTGGAAATACCTCAAAGTAAGAAACAAGAGACAATCTGTCTCCTCTTCTCTGTGATTTTAAAGATTGTTGGGTTTCTTTATACCTACCAACACAGAGTCCATATGATATGATGGCATATACAGTATACATATATTATTTTTGCTGTTCAGCATTGGTGAGAGTGCAGTAAATAAGCCAAAATCAGAACACTCACACAGTTAATGTAACAGCATCCTATAATGCAATAACATCCTTTTTTTTTCACTGTTTTTGTTGCTGTCCCTGTTTGGCTCTGACACTGCAGCAATCGTCTATAAGTAGATGATTCTGTAAATTTGTGTCAAATATATCCTCACTGTATGTGCGAGAAAATGCATGGAGGAGGACAGCTGAGAGAGCAGTCACATGCTGCTGAGAAGAGTGGGAGGAAGAGGATGTCTGCCAGCTCTGACACAGCACTCTCTGTAGAAGAGATGAAGAAGTGAATTCAAGATTACAAGCCACAATCGCCCTGCATTAGAGGGCTCCATTTTAGAAGAAATCTTTGTGTTGTGCAGCCGCAGTGACCTGACATTTCAGCGAGGGTTCATTTATGTGTGTCCTCATGCAGGACGCGTGTGTAGTTGTTGCGTTTTATGAAGGGCTGCAGGCATTGCGTCAGAGACTGGAGCCAGACGAGAGCGTGACGCTCTGGTTCAGTGACGCTTCCAAGGTCAGAGGGAGGCTTGGTGTGTGTTTGAGCATCCCTCTGCTTCATCCTTCAAGTCCCCTTTATCGAACAACCCCCATAAAGACTTTGTGATTATACTCTTGCCTGTTTCCAGAAAGTTCCGAAAGAAAGGCGAATTGAGTATTTTCAGTATTTTGTGTAGCACACTCCTTTCATTTAGTCACAAAGATGACTGCAATCAATGACGTAATTAATTTTAAATCTAAAACAGTAACTTAGTCTACACTTTGCTTTAGGAACAGACACATTTTGAGCACTTGATCACTTTTCTTCCAATGTAGTTTATTTACTTTGTAGTTATCTTGGTTGGCCTTCACACTCGGAACTAATCCACAGCTACTGACAGATATCCTCTTGGTCAATATTCCCTTTTGTATAGTTCCTGTATAGTTCCTGGTTACCAAATATTCCTTCCCTACCTACCTACCTTCCCTACTCCCCTCCACTCTCACATGTGCATATGGCTAAATTAAAGATAAAAACATAACAATGTTTGAAAGAATGAAGCATCATAGTGTGGCTTTTCAAGACATAAGTAAAGGAAGCCTAATTATATGTCACATATTACTTCAAATCAGGGAATAAAGGTATTTAGGTGATTTTTAACCTGATTTGATAACACATTTCACATTTAAATTTATAAGAAATATATTGTTTCCTCTGTTTTCTACAGATGCAACTTTGTCATTGTCAATGGATCATATCTCCATACCTCCATTTGTGTTCTCACAGGATGATACCAACTTGCCACATCATACTAGAGTTGATTTAGTGACAAATACTTGAAAAAATAATTAGTAACAAATACTTGAAAAATAACAGAGAAGGTGGACAGTGGTTTAAAACTCATCTTGTTCGTTTCTGCCTCCTGTCTTCTTATTCCAAAAAGGTAATGTAATTACAAAAAAGTCAATGGCTACTGCTTACACATCTTGATGTTTTCATGCTGCCCCCAAAAATGGATAAGTTAGAATCTAATTTACAACCATGGACTGTGACACTGAATTTTACGGATCTGCACAGATGTTACAACTGATTTATTTTGTTTTATCCATAAATATTCAAATTAAACAGCGACTCATGAAATGTAAGTAATCTTAATTAATGTCAAATGTCTCATAGGGTAAATGGTACATTTCTATTTACAAACCCATTAAATCTGTAAAAATTGTCTAAAGCATTTTTCAGAATAATACGCTTAATTTTTTTTCAGACAATAAATATGAACATTTGTGCAAATTATTTTAAAAAACTATGTTTTGTCAAGTTCTTCTGAAGTGTGATTTGAGATAGCCTTACAAAACACAACTTGCAGTTACTTTACAGATAAGATTTAACTTCAATTCTCATGAATATCCCATGGGAAAAGTTTTTGAATTTGGGTCTCACATTCATTTTTAACTCTGAATGGCCATTAAACCTGTTTAAGAGTAATTAGCTGAGCTGTTATACTAATATTTGCTAAGCTTTATTGATGTTGAAGAGTCTGTAATACTAAGATTTATCATATTTAAGTGGAAAGATGCAGCGTATATTAGGCCTTCATTTGTTGTTCATTTGCTTATAAATACTATATCTATTCATTTTTATATATAGCTTAACATAAATGGGTAAATAAAAGAAGACACAAATTTACTTCTGACTCAACCAGTCCCAAGAAAAAAGACACACAAAGTAATGTTAAAAAATGATGACATAAACAACAACTGTTTTTTGCATCACACACAGCTAAATGTTTACCTCTTTGGGTCAGATATTGTTTCTTTTTCATGACAGTCTGAGCGGCAGGAGAATCTATAAATAGATATGTTGCCGTTCAGATGAGGTCCTCGTCATTCAGCCTAATTTTCCCATTGCTGCTCCCGGCAATTGATGCTCAAAGGGAAATGGGAGGGTGAAACTCAGACTGCTGCCCATCCCCCCCTTTCTTCATCCTGGCTGCTTCATCCACTGCTGCAAAGAGAGTCTGTGATTGTGTCACCAACCCCCACTCTACACCAATCCCAACCAAGCTTTACCTCAGCCAAACAGAGTGCAGGTGTTGCCTCCTCCATTGCTACTACCTTTAGGGAACAGGACGGTGTTTACACTGTTCGGGAGAGTATGACTCACTCGGCACTGAGAACCGGTACACAGGCCTGCCCTCAGTTTTACAAACTGGTTACGTAAGGGCCAGTTATGATGCTTAAATAATTAAAGACCACAGGCCATGCGAGAATAATTGGCATCTGAAGCTGCATTGTGTAATGTGAGTCTTCAGATGGTAGAGCTTCTGTCAAAACTGAGCTTCATGGCCCGAAGTCATTGTGCAAATGAATCAATGTAACGCATAGCGCCCTGTGATGGACTGGTGACCTGTCCAGGGTGTACCCCGCCTCTCACCCGTAGTCAGCTGGGATAGGCTTCAGTCACCCCACTACCCCATTGGTAATAAGTAGATAAGAAAATGGATAGATGGATGATGCAGGGCATCTATAACATATGAAATGGCAGGTAAAAAACACAAACTCAACTCTGTACGGTTCAAACATAGTTCCTCATCCCCAGCAAATTGTGTATCAGGGCTGTTATAATACAACTAGATGACAATTTTATTAAAAAACCGTTAGCTTACCACCTTTAGTAACAGTTTAATGTAATATATGTTTATTTAGCACAACTGATCGCTAAAATGAGCTGACCATTATAAGAGTGCTCTAATAAAGTTTGATCAAAGATATTTTAGACACACTTCCAACAATAATAGCAACACTACTAACAGTCTGACTCCAAATCTTTTACCTTCTAATAGGAGGATAATATGACAGTATGTTGGGATGGGATAAGCCCAAAATCTGGCATCAGGGCCTGCCTGCAAAATATATAGCATCAGTCTGGCTCTTTTCCAGAAATGATCAGACTCAGCAGTCTGAGCAACAGAAATCCATCAGTATGGAGCTAGTTTGCGAGGCATGATCTTGAAATGTAACACCGAATCAAGCTGCTGGATTGGAGAGAGCATATGAGGAAAATCCTGCACCATGAGCAGAGCACATCAGAAGACACGGACGCGGCACCTGACTGCAGATTATAGGATGTCTTTGGTTTTGATGTGGGCCTATTCCATAATTTAAGCCACCAACACTTGCACCTGGTTGACCCTGCTGCAGAGGAATAAAGCTGAGCCTTCTGATTTAGGCCTGAGTCAGCGACATTGTGTTGTTCTAAATGAGAAATTAGATGCGTAGTGTCCAAGAGATAGAGGGTGGCACCGGCTGAGTTTGAGGTTTGGGTTCGTTGCAACCAAAGGCCACAAAGAGGGCGTCGGGGCGATAGCAGAAAGGAAGGTGGCTCGTAAACAGAAAATGCGACTGTACGATGCGCCATTTACGGTTGACAAAGCAAAGCGCAGATTGTGTCAGAGAAAAAGGTCTTTTTTTACAGAACCACTTCCAGATTCCAACACTGAAATGAGGGATCACCGAGCATCGACTGTTAATCTCCTTTAATTGGCTCCTGTGAATCTGTATGAAGCAGCTCCCGACATTAATACAGAAACAAAAACTGACTGAGGCTATAAGGGCGTAGTGTTATGTTTGCCTGCAGGCTTTCATCGCCCTGATGGAGAAGGATGTTCGAACGTTTTGAAACTGGGCAATCAAAATCATTTGGTTGAAATATAATTACGCATTACGCATCCTCACGGTGAGACCACCCAGCCTCCGCACGAAATACACACGGCTGTGCTGTACAGTAGTCTACAATGGAATACTAACAGCACCGCCTTCACCATCATCATCACCATCACCATCAATCAGATGCACTAGCAGCCATCCGCATCTTGGAGAATCTGAACATACGCTGACTCCCTGAAGGACACACACTCGGCCGCAATTTGGCCGCAGAGCGCAAATAAGGGTCTCACGGTGTGCGCAAAAAAGGATAGAAGAGAAACTCTTACTTTCGCCGACCACCGCCTTTAATCCGATAGGTGCCATGATGCTGCTGAGTGTTGGACCGAATGATCAACCTCTGCCTCCTCCTCCCTCTCTGTTCCTCTCACACCGCAGCGGAGGAGCCTCCTGTAGGAAACGTCATTGCGTATTCTTCCGCATCTTCCCCATTGGTGGTGTTGGACGTTTGGCGACGACTGCTGCGGCTCATCCGTTCAGTGTACCTCTTATTAATGCCTTCAAAAGATTGTGGTGTCTCTGACTTAATCCATAGATCCACGATATCTTTGTCTTCAATCTGCCTGTCTGACGTCCAGCTTTACATTTTAAATAAAACCATCTAAAAAGAGCAAGTAGTGATATTCAGGTTGCTCGTTTAGTTCAGTTTCCTATTAATGCCTCTCAGCTTTCATTGCATTTAAAGGATGGGTTTGATATTTAGAACTTTGATGAACATTGTTGAATGTGCCCTACGTTAATACAGATAAAATAGCATCGACACACATTTGAATTCCCAATCCCGGTTTAATTTAAAGCAGCCTTTAGCGTCAGTTCTCCTGGTTAGTTTTCAGCCATTTTCAGTTTAGTAATGACATTTTTAACTGGACCAATTTTGTCTACCTAATTTTCATCTGTATGCATTTTGTTGCAGACAAAATGATTGGATCCAAAATCTTTAGTTGCACAGCAATTATAACACAGTTTAGCTGAGAGAAAAATGAGGAGGAAACAACTGAAAGACAAATGAAAAACAACATCCACATCAGAAATAATGGGATCTGAGAGTGATTCAGAAAAACAAAAAATCCAGCAAAAACCTGGTATATAACCCAAGAGATGCATCTAGACCTAAAGCCCATCTATCTACTGGAAGGGTGGTTGTAAAAAAAAAAAGAAGGGTTTTAACTGGTTTACTACGAGGCTGAATATGAGCTTGCATGGTTGTTTGTCTCTGTGACAAAGTTATGTACTGGAGGCCCATTTAGAGTGTTCTGGCTGTTGCCCAGTTGCAGCTGGGCTCCATAACCATGGAAACCTCAAATGGACTGAGTGGACATGGAAAACGTGTAGATGTACTTGTATGAGACTTTGAAAGTTGACTCTGAAACTAAAATAAATAGACTGCCATAATAGTTTATGGTAATGATTTCTTTTATTTAGGTGTGAAAACTGACTTTATTTTCGTGGACCTCCTCTCAGTGTTCAGCTTGGGTCAGAAGAGGGCAGCATATATCTATGTTTAAGAGCACCGCAAGGTAAAAACTAAACGTCCGTGGGAGTTTCACTCCCTGTGATTAACTTCTCCATTTATTCAGCTCTTGTGCCTGTTCAAAAGTAGCTCACAAAGGTCCAAACGAATACGTAACTGAGACAATTCCCACAGTTTTCTTTCTTGTTTATAGGTTTAACGACAAACGGAGTCTGGCAGTGACTTGGAAACCACTCACGCAGCAAACACGCATGTTGTCAGACTCCTGGTTGTGGCCACACCCGCGCCAGGGCCGACTGAACACGTTGGACCAGTGAAGACTCCCAGAGGGTGTGTCCAGTAGATGTGAAAGAGTGCTGTGTTCACCTCCTCCTCCACGGCTAGGAGTTGCCATCAGTCTTTCGTTAGTCCTCCCCTTAAGAGTCTTTTACTTCTTTTTTTTTGGGAAGCGGGAGGAAAAAACGCACAGCAGAGCCGAGCGCGTCTCGACAGAAGAAACGCATTCCGTGCGGATTTAACAGGAGACTCCTGGAAATATATCACTTTTTGTTTTAAACTGAGAACACAACTGTGATACTGAGGATCTCTGAGACCATTCTGTAACCATGGGGGACGTGGTTTCCTCTCAACTAGATGAGAACAGGCGGGAGATGATTACAGGTAAGGAAAGGATGCCGTTAGGTAAAAGGATATAAAAAAATCCTCCAAACAAGTTTACAAAAAACTTGACAAACCTCAACTAATTTGTTTTTTTTACTGAATTTATTAACCAGTCATAGTACCGTTGTCATTTGTGCTCATAAATTCAACCTCAAAGATGCATATCAATCCTGCTTTTCTCTTCATGCAAAGCTCCTCTGCATCTCTGCTCCAATTTCAGAGTTAATAAGTAGGTTCCCTAACGAGGAGCATGTTTGTATAAGTTTTTGACCGCCTGCTATTTAAATGTCTCAGATTGCTCCTGTGGCACAACTCGGCAGGTCTGCACAGCCATTCCAACAAATCATGAGAGCAGATGACTCCTCTCTGTGTGATAGAAATAGTTTGATGATGCATGTGTGTCTGAGTGTGGCGTTTCTTCGGTAGTTTTGCGCTGTTCTGCAGGGTTGCAGTCTGTCTGTGGGCAGTGGCAGCTGTGCTTGTGTATGCCAACCAAACATTATGTTCTTAAGGTCCAGACACTCATTTTGTTTCCTTGTGTTGCTTTTTGTAAACCAAAGAGAAAAAATACTCTCTGATTTAGTCAGAAAGTAAAGGAAAAACTAAACTTTCAACAAACATATTGCAATTGTCTTTCCTACAAGAACATGTAGAACAAGGTAATGTCCACTTACTACATAAAAAAAAAAAAAAATCGACCTTATCTCATGGCCTCCATGCTTGAAAGATGGTCTCTCTGGTCTGACAACAGGAGTAATTCCATATGACATGCGACAAAATAGATAGTGTCGAAGGCATTGGTGGAAATCAAAACATGGGCTTTAGTCTATTTATTTTGCATTGCACATTTCCAAAAAGGGGGGAAAGGCGATCTATGGGATCTAAAAACTAGGAACAATTCTACCTAAGCCAAGTTAATCTTAATTAACTTGAACAGGAACATATACAGATTTGGCTCCCTGTTGGCTTGCTATAAAGGGAAAACCAATCCAGTAGGATTTTTCTCAGTCCTCCAGGAAGTCCTTTCAGGCGTCTATTATTGTGATGCACTGTTCTACTGTACAGTGACAGTAATGTGAGCCTCATGAAAGCGCTGCTTTCTCAATACAAGATTCAGCTCCAGAAATGTTTAAATTAGCATCTAGACAGATTTTGAAAAAGGATTCCTGTGGAATGATGGAATTGAAGACACAAGGAGAGTTCATTTGGAAAGAAAGTCTACCACATTTGATGAAAAAGGAAGTAGAAACAGAGCCAATAGATTGTAAGATTATCCCTGTCGCCAGAAAGAAATTTGTAAGCTACTGTATTTGGGCAATAGTGGTGACAAAAATATATACTAACTACAATGTGTGCAACATAAAACATCCTGTCAGCACTATTTATCGAATAATCTTTAAAGGTTTCATCTTTGCCAGTTGAAGATTGACTCAGAATTCACTATGTTTGCATGTCGATGCGTATAAGACACATTTTTCAGCCATCGTTAGACTGGAATGATCATGCTTCTGTGATGTGTTCCAGCTAGTTACACTTGGAATATTTTCACTGATAGAGGGAACCAACAAACGACAGTAAACATTGCACTGTCTGTCAAAAGGCATTAAATGCTCTTAAAATATGCAGCCTTATGTGGTTGTCATAACCTTCACACTACCCCCAAAATAACTCTTAAAATATGCCGCGTCCTTTGCAAGAAATATTCAAGCAAGAAATAAAAAGAAGTGTCATCGGTTCATACAAGGTGCCCCAGGGTGTTATGTTTTATTGCTTTTGGAAAACTGGTTATATTTCAATTGCTCGTAACAAAAGTTGTTGTTATGGCAGAACCCCTGGAATATTTCTTTAAATACCCAAGTCCGGAACAAAAAATACACCTGGGGAGAGCAGTTATAGGGACAAGATAATAAGGGAAGTTGCTGAGGTACTGCAGGTAGAAACATGTTACAGGGTTAACAGCAGAACCTTCTGTCTAGTTCTCACACACCCTCCCACAACTTTGTCTCAGCCAATTACTGTGTATGATTCTCCTTTGTTTGCATGTGAGAACTTCCAAAGAAACAAGCAGCCTTTAGTACTTTAAAGTACGACCTTTGAAATACAAGTGAACATTTAAGTTATTACTGGTCCAGTTGTGACATAAAAATTATTCACCTTTTGTGTTTGTGTTAGTGAGAATCTTCAGTTTTTTATTTATGTAACTTCAACCATAATTAAATTATCTGTAATTACCCCTTAAATGCCATTCAAATCTAGTATATTAGCTGAACACATCTGGAAATATACACACACCTCTTTAATGAGGTACAGCATAACGTGCTAAACACTTGGTTTTTTTCTCTAAAACTTAGCAGACCTTTAAATGCCAGGATTGCATGAGACAGACCACCTGCTCCCTCATCTTCTTCACAACAGACTCACTTCACAGTAGAAAGCCTCAGGAAAAAAAAACGTACCACTTGAAAGAGTTCTTACTCAACATTTTTTTCTTTTTAGATCACACACTGCTTTATGAGTAATACGTTGAACATTTTAAACCTATTGTAAAATGGAAAAGGACATTGTTTGTTGATTTAAGGTTTGCCTATAAAGAATATTAGATGTTTGTTTTTTTTACTAGTTTTTTATAGTAAAGTGAATACGACCTGATGTACACAGCAAGATGTACAGTGTGTTATGTTTATTTGCTAATCGAATGTAGTTGATAAGCTGATCATCAGTTATTTTACACACATGCACAAAGTCAGATGGTTTTTAGCATTCAGGTGTGTGTTAACACAATATATAAAGGAAACATTAGCAACGACCTCATGATGCATTGATGCATAATACATAATACAGAGAACTAATATACATTAATGACCTCAGATCTTAGCCTAAGTGAAACATTAAGAGAGCTGTGCTGAAACAAATACCAATATATTTAGATAAACTGAAGCAATTTTGTTAACTTAAGTGGGACAAGCAGCTTACACCAAAGGCTGTTTTGCCTGTTATGTTTTTCTTTTTTTTAACAATAATTTCCCCATAACCTCTGATCTACTTAGTCATGGCTAATAACTCAGATTGAGAATTAAGTATAAGACAAATGGCATAATTTGTTTAATAAGAGCATTACTTCCTCATTGATAATGACAATATTTCTTTACAGCACAGGAAAAAGCAAGAAAATTAGAGGCTTGCTCACCCTCAGTAGATAAAAAATATGTATTCAACTGGTGGACTGAGTATGTGTTTCATTAACTGGACATTATTTTCAAGCACCCACAAGTCTTTGCCCATTAAAGCGTCCCAGTCTGCTGACTTTGGCACAGCAGGACGACCGGTGGAAAGTACCAACTGTTTTGGAATGAAAGGAGAATGAACCAGCAGTTATCTGGTGGAAATTCACTCATGATGCAGAATCAAGAAAACATCTTGAAAGTGTGTTTCTAGAATGAAGCCAGAAATCAGAACAAGTGACTCATGTTCTTGTTGGCCACCTAGATCTGTTTGTAAGTTCTTTACCCGTTAGAATGCTGGTGGATAGGTGTTTCGATACAGGGGAAATATCATAAAAGAAAAAACACATAAGATCCAATAAGTTCTTAGCCATGTTTTGGATATTTACAGTTTACAGTCCTTCCTGTTGTATCACTTGCAGCCTCACAGTCATTAAGCGTGTCCTCCCATCTCGTCCTGCTGTGACATGGTGTTTTTAATAATTTTGTGTGTCCCGGTCCCCTCTCTCCTCCACATTCTATCCCCGGTCTATCCTGTCCTGTCAGCTCTTTCCTTCCTGCTCTCCCACTGCAGCCTAGCTCCATCCTTCCTGTCCCGTTCCTTCCATAAACAGATCATAGTCAACACTGTCTGCGGCTGCCCGAGCCAAACGCTTGAGAACTTTTTTTTTCCTGGGTAAAGCACAGTCTCCTCCCAGCAGAATCTTGGAGAGTTTACTGACATGCTGGAATACAATGAAAAGGGACAGGGATTCAGAAAAAAAGGATTGAACTCAATAATTTGCATAATTGAAATATTATTTAAGTTTGACAATATTCCAGAATACATTTCGTTGCAAGACTCTCAAATCTCCTTTCATCTCCTCATATAGGAACAGGAAATAGGGGGTTCGTGGGAAGTTGATGTATTTTTTGTTCCTGAAATCTTTTAAGGATGCACTGCACCCATATAAGACATTAGAAGTTTTAGCTAATGGCTCTATGTGAATAATAAAACAGGGATTAGGTACAACGACTGGTCTGAAAGCTTGTGATTATACTTTCAATGCAAAACTATTGCTCAAGACGATTAAAAAAAATAAGAAGTAGGTGTTTGGAAGAGAAGTTTGAGTCACATGAATTAGAGTTTAATAAGGGTAAAATGAATCATATCTTGGTTTGTCCATTCAGAAGTCCTAAACGTATTATAAGGGTATAATATCCTTGTTTGATATAAACAAGTTGCTGATTCGTGGCTCCCTAACTGGTCTCACTTTAGTTCATTAATGTAATATGTTCAAAAAGTGAGTTTGTGACTTCTTCAGGATACTGAATGGCCAGGTTTTTCCATCAATAGTTTTTAATTTACCGATGGCGCAGACGGGGAGACAAGGACCCAGATTTATGAGACATCACAAACGAAAGGGGCACCTCTGTGTATGTGTGTCATGATCAAAGCTAAATAACACAATAAAGTGTGGGATTTTCTCTAGGCCGGCAGGAACCTGTCACATGGATCCTGACTTCAGTTCAGTTGTGTACATCGGTGAGCTTTAGCAATCCTGATAAACAGAGTGATACACGCTGACCAGACAGTAGACATATTCTTATTAATGCAGCATATCCAAGCATGAGCCCAATATTTATAATCCGCTAATCAATAGGGGAAGCGTTTTAAATTAGCATGGCTAATAGAAAATATTTATCCAGTTAATGTATGGACCATAGAAATTTGAAAAGCTGTACTGGTGAGCACTGCAAAATGAGTCAGACAGAACTTTGAAAACGTTGTTGTGTTTGGCAATGCTGATGATGATATTAAAATTGGATTTAATCTAAAATTGTAGACCTACATTTCCTTATTTTGGGTCTTTTTGTCCCTCACTATGGTAGAATGTTGCCTCGTGAGCATATTCCACTGGGTTCTGCCATTCCTCTGTGTTTCAGCAGAAGTACACAAGAAACATAATACAGTATTCATTGATGAAGTAGAGAAAGATAATCCTTATCCTGTGTGTCTTTTCTTGTCTTCTTGCAGCTAAGACTGGAGATGTGATGAAACAGTTCGGCGATGTGTATGAGCAACAGTACGCTGTCGCTCTGTTCAACAATGTCCGGTTTGAGATAGAAGGAGGAGGAGGCACACAGTCCCAGCTGCTTCACAGAAAGGCAAGTAGTTCACTGTCTATGTAGAGTTTCAATCTGTTGTTTTGGATCAAAGCCCATTAATATAGTGAAGATTTTAGGGGTCAAATCACACTCATACTCCAGGAGCTTTGTGAGAGATTCCATCGTAATGATTCCTTCCACTTTCTTTGGAAGTAGAAGCTTTGACAGTACACCTGAAGTAAGTCCCCATTTCGTTGGAAAAACATGTGCGTGACACTATGCACACATACAGAGTTTTGTTTTGTTTTACAGTTGTGCTGCTCATCTTTGCTTTTCCGCTCAGTTAACTTTGACTTGCAGAAAATGCATTGTTATCGCAGGGTCAACGCATGAATTTTACTATAATGTTGACTTGAAATAGGGCTGACATAGCTTTTCTAGTGAGGGGCGTCATTCCACTTGGTTTACTACTCTTTTTTAAAGACACACTGCATGCCATGCTGAGATATGCAATTTGCACCTAGCATCTTTTTAAGAGTCCGCTTACTGTTGCACAAATATATTTTATTATGTTTGTCAAACGGTTGATTGTCTGCGTTTTTTGTCAGTTAGCAACATTTCGAAAGATGCAGCTCAAAACTCATTCTTTGCTAAAAATCTGTCTTTTGCTATTTGCAATAAAAAGACAATGGTAAGTCTTCGGGATTACCTGTTTTCCTTGTTTTCTTGTGTGTTTGAATGGTTTGTAGGTGTGGTTAACATTAACAAATCAACAAAAAGGCACAAAAAAACAAAACATGTTCCTATTGATATTGTTAGGCCAATTACGTGACTAAGAATTAGTGAATAAAAAATATATATATATAAGAGGCCAGTGTTAAATGAAAAGACCTGTCTGTAAAAGCCTGGAGAGGTGTCATTCAAGACCACTTCGACAGGCAGTTGAGGAAAAAATATAAAGATATAAGGATGGCCACAGACTCACACAAAAGACAGCTCTATCAAATGAGTGAGGCTTCTGCTTTGCCTCCTAGTGTATTTGTTTATGAATCCTATTTCTGAATACACACTGAAAGGGAAAGTGGAGCACATTTCACACATGAACAGAGATACAGTTTCTGCTATGGGAGTTCCTCTGCTCGGGTCACCATGTGTAGGACAGCTGATTTTCTTTCATGTTCTCCACAAACCTCCCCCCATTTGCATGATCCCTTTTTCTAGATGACTTTGGTTGTTTTTTGTATCGGTATTTAAAGCAGCCTTTAAGTAAACCCTGATGGAAAACTACTTTCATCTACTGTTGGTCAGTGTTATGTAAGAAAATCAGACATTTCCACATTTTTTAGCAAACAAACTGACCGGTCTGTTTCAGGCGATAAGCCCCTTTTGTATTTCACATATACTGCCCCTACTGCATGTCTTTTTGGCTTTTCTTCTTCCGTTCTGAGCAGGAATTATTTGATCTCAGACAGGAAATCTGAAAACAAAGTGGGTGGTGTGTATCCTTGTGTAAACACGCTTAAGTAAAACACTCCTCCCCAGCATGTTTGGGAACTCCCCTTAAGCTTTAAGAATCTCACAACATTTCTCACGTTCTCACAATGTTTGACTTGTGAAACAACAAAATCCCAAATGTGTTGATAAGGACGCATGCTTTGTATCATAGGTGGGATAAAGGAGTCTTACAGGTTTACAGAGCCATTTTTAAGAATGAAGTGTGCACGTGTTTTCTCAGAACCCGTTGGTAGGCCACTCCATCTTCTCAGGGGGCCTGTATCAGTACCTGGAGGAGAACCGGAAGTGGAGGACCCGCTTTGCATCTGTATCAAACAGCTACTCCATCAGCTTCTATGAGAACAAAACAGTGAGTGAAAGTCTGTTCAAATCAAACCACCTTCTAATATGAAAATTGAAGCATTTGTGTTAAAATGGCTTACGTGCCTTCTCTCTTCACAGGCCCATGAACGGGGGCTGCACCCAAAAATTACCATCAACTGTGCAGGTTACAAGATCCTCACCTCCATGGAAGAGTACATGGAGCTGATGAATGGCAGCCTGCCAGGTTGGAAAATAACAGACATACAGATAGTAATCAGTTGGTACTGTAATAAGGCATACAAAGACACTTCTTTTGATAAAATCAATAATTTGTAAAACTAGTTTGGACACCATTTGAAATGAGATCTTTGTCAGATCCATATGGGGGAAAACACTGTCAAATTTTAAACTTAGAAACCATTTAGAATCTAAAACTGACAACATATTTTTAAACACTTGTATGTTGGATTTGTGTTTTTCACTCTGATGGAGGATTACATTTTGTGGGTGTAGCAACAAGCTATGTCCACTCTTTCATGTGTCAAGAGTTTCTGAGCCCTTAGAGGGATTTCTACCCAGAAAATGTGTGATTTTAATGCTGTTCAGTAATGTAATCCACAGAGATTACTTAGGTTTCAGTAGATCTTTGTTTCATTTTGTTTAGGATAACCTTTCGAGAAAAGATTCACTCTGTTATTGTGTTTATATTAAGCCACAGGTACAATAATTTCCTCAAATGTCTGTCTTATTGTTAGAGGATATTTATTGATTCATTTTTTTAATCAATTTTACCGAAAACATTAACATTAGCCCTTTCAAGTGTATTTTTCTCCAGAGATGCATTTTTTAAGAGCTGCCCTCTTAATCTGTTTTAAAAAACATCTGTAATGTCTTGATTTCAACATTGAATATTTAATTTCTTTCCCATTACAATTTAATTAGAACAAAAGAAACATTTTACATGAACTACTCAAATTTACACTTTCTCTAATGTGACATGTTGCAGGTATCAAAGCCAAAGTAGGCAGTAGCCCATTCATCAAGGTTGGAACCCAGTTCTTCCTCATACTGTGGCACCCGTACGCTCGCCACCACTACTTCTGTTGGGTAACTGAGAAGGAGCAGAAGAAGTGGCATGCTGTGCTGCAGGACTGCGTCAGACACAGCAACAACGGTAAACTACCTTTAACATACCACTTTGTTAAAAAAGGGCTCAAATATATTAATACATATGAAGACAAACTGATAATTAGATTAGACTTCTGTGCAGTTTAAAGCTCATACACACCTTTGGAACAGCTGTTATACCTAATGCTCCAGGTCAATAAGTGCTTCTTGCTCTTTCTTCTTCTCTTCCTTTGTTGTTCAGATGCAGGTGTGTGTATATGATTGCGTGTCATTTTCTGAAGCCTTTAAATGCCATCTGAGTGAGGTGTAAACACAAGTTGCAGCACAAATAGTGTGTTTGTTTTTTTACATCAACTTTGATTTTGATTGCTTTTAGTTGTCATAGTCGGAAAAAGATGCTTAACTTTTTGCAGCATCTTTTCATGCAACATTTATCTCTCTAACTGTAGACAGGGACTTCATTTGAGTCAGCAAATGAAAACCAAAGCTTTATGTGTCAGACATAAAGACAGACCTGTAACATTTTGAAGAAGGCTCTTAGTCACATCTGTCATTATATCCTTTATTACAAGCTATTGGATCCCTGTACCAAAAGCCTGGGGAACGGAGTGCAATTGAATTTCTTGCTGCATCTTCGGGACTGAGGAATCCTAGTAGGTTTGGTCAGAGTTCTATCTTTTGCTTATTGCAAATATTGTGTACTTGTTGGCTTGAATGAGCATACATGTCCAACAGCTACTGGACCAGCTGTGTGGGAAAACATCTGGGTTGAGACTCAGCAGGATAAGACTCAGTTATGGGAGACCAGTAGGGAAGAATTAGTTTTTCTACTCTGGAAGTTTGGTAAAATATCAGTTTATTTTGGTCTTGGCAAATTGTGGGGGTTGAACAACCAATCAATGCTCTGCTGCTGTAATGTTGCCATTATGCTGGTCTGAAGAGAGACCTGGGCCAAAAGGTTAATTTGTCAAACTACAGGTTTATCTAGGCTCCAACTGTCATTCTGGAAAATTCAATATTAACATGTAAATGAAAGCTGCAGAAATTAGCTTCTCCCAAAAGAGCAACAAGCTTGGCTTCAAAACTAACGAAATAGGAGGGGCTCATGGTAAAGTCACCGCTCCTCTGCATTTAAAGTGATTGATGTGTGTTGGTTGGCACCCTATGGGTCTCCTCTGAAGACCAAATGGAGATGGCTGGTCTAGTGATCGCCGTTCTACTGTTGCCCACATATCCTTATTGTGGAGAAAATGAACTGGTGGATTTAAATCAATGTAATGGTAATTTAAAACAGGTAATTTAATGTTAAAAATAATAATTTAACACAATCACAATGATGATTAAGAGTTTCCCATCGATGTCAGACTCATGAGGTAAAATGAGTAATATGACTGACATCCACAGACAGACTTCTATTTAACTGATGAAGAGGAAACAATACTTTAGTGCTTTTGTTTGAGCATTCCATCTTCATTCAGGGGTTAATGGCTCTTTGAAGGATATAGCACTGCCTTTTGCCTTTGGATCTTCATTAAAAGATGTTTGTCTAATCGGGGTGGGGAGCTACTCTTGATCTGGCCCTTGCTGTGGTGGAATGAATCATGTGTCATTGTGTAGTAACACAGGTGGGAGGAGACGTGCAGGAGGACTTGCAAACAAGATCCAACACATGCTTTGTTATCCCTTACACCACCGTGTGTCTTGGCAACACGACTATGTGCAAACTTTGAGAGTCTTATGTAGAGAATTTGCTTTGTTATATACACAACTGGTTATGGGAAGATTATCATATGGATTATTTTTAAAAAAATGTTTAAATTAGGCATGCATGTAGGGAATTTAGATTTTATTTTCATAGTTGCATAGCTGCTTGTATTTAAGTTATGAGGACCTCTGGTTCAATTGCTCACCCCAGCTAATCAGTTCATTAAATCCATTTGTTATTAGTCTATTCCATTGTCCTAATTTGTTTTACAGCCAAGGGTGCAAGAAAGATGGATATCTAAGAACCCACTTTTGATAAAGGCCGTGATTATTCCTAACATCAACTCTACTGTGCTTTTAAGGTCTCGCAGCATCCTCAATTGAACTCTGACAGACAAATGCATGTGATCAAAAAATATTCCCTCTTCATCACGAAGCTATATTCCGTGATTAATCATATACATAATTTCCATATCTATTTGTTGGACTCTTTCATCTGTGGTTCCATGACTTCAAGAGAGTGTTTTAGCTTTATCTTCGTATGTATTCTGTACTGAAATGCGGGTCCATTTCTTACCTTTTCTAGATTAGCTCATATTTAGAAATTGAGAATAGCTTGTGAAAATGTCTTATCAATCAATCTTATCAATCAAATGTTGTCACCAAACGATTCAAACGGCCATTAAGCCATTAAAGCACCAGATCAGTGTGGATCTTCCTGATTTCACAAGTTTCTTTTTAGTATTTTTTTAGTATTTAAGTATTATGAATGGACTTTTTAATATTATGTTAAACCTTTTTGAAACAATCCCTTATCGTCACCATATAACTTCCCTTGGGGGTGAAGCATAGTTTTCATTTTTATCTGGAAGATTTGACTTATATAGACAAGACTTTCCCTTAGCTACCCTTTTGTCTTGTGCTGTGCTGAGTTTATGGGTGTGTACATACTTATAATTATAATTCTGTCAATACTCTTTGAACTTAAACGTTTGTATGGCTTTTCTCAAATGTAATACCTGTTACCTGTAATTGTGCTTTAACTGTGTTAAAGATGGCTTATGATGCATGAGGTGACACTGTAATCATCAAGTCAGCTGCATTAAACCACTTAGCACCTGGAGAATGACCTAGTCATCCATTCTCTGTAGTTTGAACAAATATTACTTCATTAGGTAAAGTGCAAACAACCCTGTATCAGTGAATTTTAAAAAATGATCATGAGTGTAAGCATATAGACAAGATGACAAAGTTGCCCAACCGGATTTTGCCATACTTGCTCAATTATTCTGCAAATGGATAGTGCATCATGGATTGAAGAGTTTAGCTACAACACTTATGACAAGCTTTGCCCCATCTATAATGCAGATTTGAATGATCATTTCACCAGTTTTTTTCAAAACTTTAAAAAAGAATCACCGCAATGTAACACATCCTTCTCACTCAATACTGCCAAACATGATGTGTTCGGACATGTTCGAAAATGCTGAAGTCCCTGTTAGGCATTCCTCTGAGGCTTCAGGAGAGTGTTGCAGGGAACAGAGCTTTTTTGGTGTCCCCATGAATTGTGAAAGCAACCTGTGTGGCTCACTGTGAATTGGCATTCATGTCTTTGGCTTGTGTTGACACACCCTGTCTCACCTCAGTCACAACAGAGAAACCAGAACTGTTGAAGACTTTTCTCTTTCCCCTGAAAGTCAGCAGAGTGTGGGTCAGCTCATAAAACCATAAATGGTTTTATGAGCTGACCCACACTCTGCTGTTCCTTCAGTTGGCTCAGACACACGTTCTGATATCCCCATTAAGAACAAATATGTAGCCATACATTGGCTTGATGCAAAGCAGTTCTTTAGCTGAACATAGGCAGTATTCAGCTGGCTATGATAAAGATTAAAACCACAAGTTAAATTTTCACTCAGGTGCATGAAAGGCTTATTTGAATATACTGAAGCACCTTTTGTTTAACTTACCCATAATAACTCTGTTAAACAAGTGCCTGCTGCTTTGCATCACCTTAACAGGATGATTTGCAAACTTCCCTTTTAATCAGCTGATCTAACAGGTGTCCCTCGCATGAGCATAGCATGAAATAGCATAACACTAACATAAAGCCCGACTGTTTTCACCACAGAGTTCATATATATTGGTTATTTTGCCCTCAGAAGCTGAGTTACGACTCATTTTGACTAATTCATATGAGATTTTTTACTAATACTGGATGTTCTTGTTGGTTTACAGCTATGTTACATATTGCTTGTGGATACATGAGTGTTTAACATTTTACACATCATTTTTATTACACATGGAACGTTGCAATTCAGCCTTAGAGAACCAATATTAGACATCTTTTTTTAACATTTTGAAGCGATCATATAATCTATGTATATTATTCAGAGCAGATTGAGGAAAGTTATTTGGAATAATCTCGATTTATACAGTAAATTATATATTGTAAAGCGATAAGAAGTTATTAAGTTAATTTATTTTTTCATACTGCGGCTGAGTCTGGTTCCATAGGACTGTCTCATATGGGAAAACACAACTCATAAAGATGAATGGAACAGAAACAGTGTGAATAAAAGAATAGATAGTTTGAAAACTCTACTACTGTTAAGGTAGGTGGTCTGAATCTGTGGTCAGACCATTTACACCTCTGGTATCCAAAGATGAATAAACTATAAAGATGGTAATATTTGTGGATATTAAGGCTTGGGAACCTATCCAGACCGGCAGAGCTACTATCCCATGAAACAGAGTGTGGAGAGAGAGGCAGGAAAGGAAATGCCTTAAATACAAAAAACTGTGGTAAGTGCTGCCACATGTTCTATTAATAGACACGGCACACATACACACACACACACAACATGAGAAGAGACTGTAATCACCCCCTTGATCTAGACATAGAGAATGTTTAGATATTTTCAGACCTTTCAGACTAGAATGTCAGATATTGCTCTGTTGATCCTGTACAAATACATCCCAAAAAATATTTTGGTCTATCATTTGAATTCTATCATTTGAGTTAGATATTGCTCTGTTGTTAAAAGATTTAACTCCATAGGAACCCACCTGTATTACCATTGGGTGATACAGGTGGGCTCAATCTTCAGTCATTCAGCTTCATTACTTTGGAAATGTACAGAGTCTTGTGGAGGTTTGCTTTCAACCCAGCTTGTATGTCATTTTGATGAGGAAAAAAAGACTTGGACAAAAGGGAAAACTTGAAAATACTGTATTCACAAGTCCATTTTATAAAACGCTTAATAGGCCTAGTTACTTAATAGGCTTAGTTTTTGATGGCTTAGTTGTGGTAGTAGCCTTTTAACCCAAATCTATATACACCTCTTTTGGGGCAACTTTTTATCTTTGGTATATACGGCTGCCCATTTCTTGAGACAGAACTTTTCCAGCTCAGTCCAGCTGAATTGCTTCTGCTTGATACAGCTAAACTTATTTCTGAACTGGATTAAGGTCCGGATTTTGACAAGACCATTCATTTACCTCCTGCCAGTTTAATCACAAATTCTGTGTTCTCCAGATGACTAAAACTTTTTATCCTGAGAGCTTTCCTTTATTCATCACTATCCACAATTCCCTCAAGTAGATATCAAGTGACATGAATCCCACTGCATGAAGCATCAAACCCTTTTCATTTGCTCTCAGTTTTTCTATCTCTGATAATGTTCTGCATGTTTCAATCCAAATCAAAGCCTACTTAACATGCAAAAGTTGACAGAAATACCAACTTCATAAGCTGTGTGTTTGAAGCTTCTTGTATTGTAGGATGAACAGTTTTGAGTTACATTTTAAACAGGTAGATTTCGAGTGTAAATCTACCTTTGTAAACATCAGTCCTCATGATTGGTATCAATGAAAATTTCTGGTATGGCAGAGAAAGTGAAATCCAGTTCATGAGAGATAAGATTCGTCACAACACTTAGAAAACCAATTGTTCTGATGCTGACATGTAAACGATTAATTGTGGATTTTAATCAGGGAAAAAACTTTTGGAAAAAAGTTTGCAGCATACTTGAGGTACTTTTAACTGGCCACCTGTCAGTGTGCTTGCACCATTATTTTGTTATTTCTATTGGACTTCATGGTCCAGCGAATTATCATGAAATATGCGCCTAGATGATAAAAAAAAACCCAAACCTCAGATTTTCTACTGGATTGGAGAGAGACAACTTCCTGTCTGGCTCTGGTCCCCCCCCCCCCCTTTACACAGTTCTTGGTAACTTCCTGTCTTTGTCAGCCTTTCTTAGTCCACCAAAGGAAAAACTTCACAGCCTTCACAAGCTCAGCAGTAAAGTTTGCCCGTTGCAGACTTTGCACACAATGCAAATCACCATGCTTAGGATTCGTCCATTTCCAGAGCAGGAAACTTTCCCCTTAATGCCTTCCTATTTGTTGGCACCTCACTAAGAATCAGCCTCATGGCAGTAAGAACAGACAGTAATGTGCTATTATTGCACAACATTGTAAACATTAATAGCAGAAGTCAACCTCATTCATTTAAGCACTCTTTTATCATTTTTTCATTTATTAATTAAAAAAGAGAAGGAAAGAAAAAAAGAGAAGAAAAAATTAGGGAAGTAGAGTAAGAGGAGGGAAAAGGGAAGAATAAAAAGAAAGACAACCAACTGCTGCATTTGCACCCTGCTCCTTTAGTTGGAATTCTGAGAACAAACAAGAGAAGTTGTCAGTTCACAAACGTGTAGCTTAATCAGCTCACAGGTAAAATAACACAGTGACAGAGCTCCTGCAGGATCTATTTCCGGGTGTGAGTTACAGTTATCTTTTCGTGCTATGATTGCCCTGTACAAAGGCTGGACTGAATGCAGTCTCATTGGTCAGTTATCTCTGATATGAACAGGCTGACCACTATTCATGTAGGCTTACTGAAATATTATATGAAACATGGGTGAGTGTTGTCCTTGAATAATGTATGTAACTATAGGAGGAATTTCTGAGTATGTCTAGTTTCTGTTTATTAAAATAAGTTCACACGATTTTGATCCAATGAGAACATCAAGTATGGTATGTTCGTCCATTATTCAAACTGCTTATTCCAAGTAAGGTTACTGAAGCCTATCCCAACTTACATTGGGCAAGAGGTTGGGTACACCCCGGACAGGTCAGCAGTCAACCACAGGCCGCACAATTAGACAAACATCCACAAACATTCACTTCTAGGAGACATTTATAGTGTTCAATTAACTAAACAGGCAGGTTTTCGGGCGGTGGGAGGAAGCCTAGTCAGACACATGCAAACTCCACACAGAAAGGCCCGGGGTCCCCCTGGAAATTAAACCAAGATTGTGCTAACCACAACACCACATGAACATGAGGTTGGATGAGTTCAGTAAAAAAAGAAGTCCAAAATGAAACAATGATGATTATAACAAAAGCAAAATAAAAACAACAACCATCAACAAACCTGAAAAAATTAAACCATGCCTATTGGAAATAATGAAAACCACAAAGGCAACTGTGGAGTGAACATGCAAAGGAATGAGTGGGTGTGTAGGCATGTGTGTGAGTAGGAAAAATGTACAAAGCTTTGCTATTGGGGGAAGGGGTGGCATAACCACCCCACCCAAGAGCACAGGAGCAGACAGGAAGGGCCCCCAGATCCGGGCAACAGTTAGCATCCATGGATGCAAATAAAATGAAAGAGAAACAAGGAGCCCACAGCTGACAAGCCATCCTCCAGCCTATTGGGGAGAAGAGGAAAGCCCACAGCGTGCCCCCCCATGGGTTAGATAATCGTAATATCTGTGGACTATGTTTACTACATTATAAACATTAAAAAAGGTTTTATTTTTGCCCACTGCAGAAAACAAATTCATATGGATTTCCCTCACCACAAAATAGGAACAAACTTCCTAAAACATACAGTATGTATGTTGCAGAACAGTTTCCAAAACGTCTCTATTGTCAGCTGGAAGGGACAGGAACCAAAGCAACTGAATAGAATCTGTCATACAAAAACTCTGCATCTTCCTCTTTTGAAGGATGACACAGCCATGTGTGACGTGTGTGTACATGCGTGTGTGTTCTTTATAAGGTAAGGATGTACTGCTATAGGCCACTGAGCTGACTCAGAAGTTACGATCCTGTTTGTGTGGGAGTCCTCAAATAGTTCTGTTCATTAAGTCATTGACTAGGATTCTTAAACCAACTGTTGCACTAAGCAATCGAGAGTTCTTTGTAAAAAGACGCGCACGCAGCCTTCTGACCCAGCTGAAGTCAAAGGAATGTGCTTTTAGTTGTTTTTGAACAGCACTAAGGATCTTTTTTGCCCCAACAGGTCTGCCAGACGACGGCACCGTTCAGACGTCAGCCTTCATTGACTCTATAAGACATCATAGACAAGCCAAGGGACATTATGGGACCTGGGATTTGATGTGCGGAACACCACCACAGGTCAGGATCTCACATTAGTCAAGAAATATATATCTGAAGCGATACATAAACTGACTAGTCGAAAGTCTGCAAATATTCACAACTCCTCAACACCTCTTAACTTGAAACGCCCTTTATTGTTGAGAGTGCACTTAATGGGCCACACCTTAATTATGTATTGGAATGACATGCCTTCTATCCGAGGATTATGTGACTGAGGCAACTTGTCTGCTGAAGGTTGTGCTTAACATAAAAGAACATTTTCAAACACGAATGCATGAAAGCATGTGGGACATGGGCATACAAAAAATCTGAATGCACTCACACTAACCTCCAAAGAGACTCCCACCAAATACATAAACACATATAAAGTTGATTGGGACCTCTCTTCTTTCTCAGAGTCACTGCTCAACCTTTGTCCCTCATTTGTGACATTTCTTTGTAAATTGTGACCCTGTTTATTCTTTCATTCCACAAATATTAACAGAGTAACACTCATTTCCTATTTAAATGCAGTTAAGTTAAGTTTTTGTTTTTAGTTTACTGCTACCAGAGAGACTCACTGTTTAGATAATCATAGTATCAATCATGGAACTGACCTATCATTATAGTTTAGGCTTTGAATTGTTGTGAAAAGGCCCATTATCTGAAACTCTATTCAGATTTTTGGTCATCTCTCTTTTTATTTTGAAACAGCCATGTTTATAATTTTTTCTGTTGTATTTAATTCTTGTTTCCGCATCACACGTTCCGGGTTTAGCTGGTAACCCCTTCTTCTGCTCCCATTTTACATTCCTTTTTCCATATAAACCCATTATCTTCACAAAAAGCATTAATAAGGACAAACATCACCATGCGATGGAATTGTGCTCATTTTGCTGTGGAATGGTTGTCCCTTCACTATAACAAAATCTATGTTAATGTTATTATGAAGTTGAATGAGAGAACAACCACCCCCAACAGCCCAATGAAAATATTCAGAAATATTGTAGGAAAATGTGAATGATGGTCATTGTCTACGCAGTAATGATAATGATAATTTACCAGAATGTAAAAGTTCAATATCTGATTTAACGTATAACTTTTGTCACCAGTATCATTGAACCCATACTTGTCCAGCTGCGTATTAATTCACCCACTTCACTGTATCCATGTACTCACATAGTAAAATTGGAAAATTGTTTCATTGAATGTTGACTGTTTGTTGACATCTGTGAAGTTGTAACATAACTTGTCTAACTGTAAGTGACAGCATCAACTTAAATGCCAGCTGTACATTTATACAGTGTCAAAAAAGTATGGCGAAAAAATGTCCAAATATGTTTAACGTCCATGTTTTCTTTGTACAGATTTTGGCTAATCTGGTGATGGAGACCCTCCACCCTGAGCTTAGAAATATCATCGGCCCTCGTCTGAAGGGAAAGTTGCCCCAAAGGCAGAGGAACTGGATGTTGGTGAGATTCTGTTTGTCTGTATTGGGCCCTGCTGGCATCCAGTTTGAGTCCAGTTTCATCAAAAGCTTTAAACCACGTTGTTCTTAAACTATTCTTCTCTCTAGATCTCTGATGCAGTGTACAAGCAAGTCTTGACTCAGACCACTGGTCAGTATGACGCTCTGGTACAGTTATGTGAGGCCCACAAAGGGCAGCTAGATGCGAGACTGCGGACCGACATGGACCAGATCATTACATCAAAGGAACACATCAGCAGCAAGATAAAAGGTGACTTTCTCTTTTTGCTTTTTAGTTGAAATTGAACCAGATAAAATAATGTATGTACTGTTCAATTAATGCACGGCAAAATACTAAATTTAGGGAACTTTCTTTTTTTAAACTTTTAATTCAGAATTACTTTTTCACTCTGTGTCCACTATCACGCAATTTACTCTTCTTGACCTTAACTGCACCCTCCATTTGCTGTCTTGAGATGTGGCTGTGGTTTCTCTGCCTCTGAAAATTTCACCACAGCACGACACAGTGCTTAAATATCACCATGACTTTGTTTGGACATTTGGCATTAATGCGGTCTATCCCCCATCGTGTAGTCTCTCCCCTATAATCAAACTTCCATGTGGATGCCTTGTTTTAACACCTGCACTTTCTCCTTACAAGTTCTGCTTAAGATTTAAGTCCACTGTTGCCTTTAGTGATTTCTCTGTTATTCGCACCAGAACTGATCTGTTCCCTGTCTTAAAGTTACCTCAGGGCACGCTGTCCATTCTTTTCACAGTTCCCATTGAGCTGAAGTGGTTTAACTGCATTCCATTATTGTGTGGACCACCTCACACCACAGAAAAGACTCAGTCACACAGGTCACTTTGTAAAGAAGTGAAGTAAATATGACCTTAGGGGAATGCAGAGGCTTGAAAGATGCAAGTATGGCCACAAGCTTTACTTTGTGGGCTAAAAATTGGCTTATCTAAAAAGGTGAAAATCCATGACAGCATATGTAGACTTGATTTTATTGGTTTTATGGGTTTTTATTGGTTTATTGGAACACAAACTCTTTAAGTCTGGAAAGTATGGGATAATATGAAAAATGAAAATCACTCAATTCTTACAGTCACTTCTTTCTGACATTGATAGCGTGAATTCAAGGTACCTCATCTGTCTCCTCATCTTCAGTTTTATAGTTAAAAATGCCAAACTCAGGCCTGTGACAAATATAAAAAATTGTTAGAGATATTTAGGCTACATGTGAAGTAAAGAAACAATGCTCTCTTATAAAACTGTCATCAACACACCCTGTTACTGAAAGACACATTTGAAGGGCTTTGCCTATCGTTATAAATTATTATATCAACCCAGTGTTGAAGATTTTTGTATATCAAGTCAATGGTCCAAGCCCCTCTGCGCAGAGCTTTACTTACCTTAAAATGCATTTGCAGAAATAACTAAACAAGATAAAGCTTGAGACCCATCATCAGTTGGTATCCTCAATGCCATAATGCCCTTGTAAATGTTGTGAAAAGGTATGGCAACATTACAGCGTGGTGAAAGCTTTTACTGTCCCAACCTATTTTTGGAATTTGTCACAGACGTCATTAGGTTCAAACTGCTGACGGTGAGAAGAAGCCTTCATCATACTGTCTGCATTCATCTTAAATTGGGGCTCTATTGTATGTGCTGTGCCACTGAAATCAGGACTATGTGTTTACTTTCTGTCACTCTCTCTTATGATTTGGCATGTAGCTTTGGTGCTGCCCAAAGTGGAACAGCTCCTACGGACCAACATTCAGCCCTACATCAGCTCCATCCTGGAAGCTCTGATGGAGCCCACCAGTCGAGGTTTCTCCGAGGTCAGGGATGTGTTCTTTAAGGAGCTTGTGGAGATCAGCAAGAATTCACTTAATGGAGGTGGCAAAGAAAAAGTGGGAGACGTGAGTCGCATTGTGAATATGTAGAGCATGGTTTAATGTTTGATGACATCAAAGGCACACGAAAACAAATGAGTTGCTCATCGCTGCAATTCTTCAATTACAATTTAGGGAGTGTCCCCGCTCCGAACTAATCCCGGACAACCGGCTTATCCTTTTTCCGCTCTGGTGTCGGTGTTCCACAATCGGTCCTGTGACCTTACAGCTTTCCGCCTCTTTCTGTCCCTCTTTTAGCAACTAGAGAAGTTGTCCATGCTGGCCTTCCATCCCGTGAAGATGCAGAGCTGCTACGAGCAGATGGATCAGCTCAACCTGGAGGGGCTGCAGCAGAGGTTCAATGTTTCCAGCCCATCAGTGTTCATCAGCAGGGCTCAGATCCTCATGAGGGAGGTGAGACTCAGCAGTCCTTTCTCCCTGAACACAAACAAAGTGTCAGATATCTTACAGTCCCCTTGTAAAAGTTCTAAATAATAAGACGTCAGCAGTGTTTACTGCCACCTGCTGGACAAAAAGAGTACAGCTAGGCTGAGCTGTTATTCACATCTGGGTTTGTTAATCTGTTCTTTGAGCTGTTGTACAACTTTGTTTATACTTTTTTCCTTTTCTTTTGGCAGCAAATGGACAACGCAGTGTATACGTTTGAGTCCCTGCTCCGCAACGCTTTAGACGCTGAGGTGGAAGATAACCTTAGCAACACCATACAGAGATGCCAAGACAGGGTTCTGAAGGTGAGACAGAACCACCAGCATACCAAAGAAGAAAACAAACGATGAGACGAAAGAAAAAAAGATGTATGAACTAAATATCTCCATTCCTTCCTGTCAGAAATATGACTATGACAGCAGCACAGTGCGGAAGAAGTTCTTCAGAGAGGCCTTACTGCAGATCATCATCCCCTACATGCTGCAGCAGCTCGCACCCTCCTACACACCAGTGAGTAAAACAAAAAAAAACTCACTCCAGTGTGGCTCCATTCCACTCTGGTCCTAGTTTGGGTCCTTTTGGGTATCTCGGTTGATCAGATTGCTGAGAGGCTGAAACAGTGCTCGCTCTTTTCTCAGGAGCTGCCCCGCTTCAACGAACTCATCTTTGAGGACCTGTCGCGTTTTCTCCTGGTTCAGAATATGTACGAGGAAGTGGTGCTGCAGTCTGTCGCCAAAGACATAATGATGGGTGAGGGCCACTAAACACCAAGAATTAGAAGCTTCTAGCAGTGGTTGGCGATTATATATAATTGAGGTATCTGACCTACCTGCTAACATAATGTCTGACTGTCTTGTTTTGTCCAGCTGTGAAGGAGGCAGCTGTGCAGAGGAAACATAACCTCTACAGAGACAGCATAGTTCTAAACAACAGCGACCCCAACTTGCTCCTGCTCGGGGAAACACCGCCGGTGGACTGGGCTGCAAAGTTTGGGAGCAGTGAGCCGGATAGCTCTGCCGGGGAAGTTGAATTAAGGGGCTCCGGGAGAAGGCGCAAGCAGGTGGTGTCCATGATACAGATGGAGGGGTTGCCTCTTCCCTACGAGTCCTGCCTGGAGGTCCCAGGAGTGGAGCTAATACCAGAGGAGGACGGCGAGGTTTCTGAGTGTAAAGAAGGTGACGAAGAGGAGGAAATGGAAGACTTAGGTCCATCTGAGGATCCAAAGTCTCCAGATAGTGTGAATGAAATCAGGGACCTGATTCATCCCGTGATGGAGCTGATGGTGCCTGTGTCACAGCTGAAGCAGAGTGAAGAGACAAATGGGACAGAACCAGCCACTGGGACCACCATCATGGAGGACGAAGAGCAGGAGGAGGTGACGGACGTCACCACCATCATGGAGGACGAAGAGCAGGAGGAGGTGACGGACGTCACCACCATCATGGAGGACGAAGAGCAGGAGGAGGTGACGGAAGTCACCACCATCATGGAGGACATCCCCGAGAAGTCAACGGTAGACAAGCCGTCCCCGCAGTCCATCCTTCAAGAGCTGAAAAGAAGCAGGACTCAAGAAGCCAATATTGAGCGTCAAGAAGAAGCCGCCATCCGGAAGGCCATTGAGGAAATGGAGATCGCGGTGCAGGAAGATGACAGCGACATGATTACAGTAGAATCAGATTCTGAGATACCAGCACTGGCCAAAAACTCCAACTCAGAATATGACAGCGGCTTCCAGTCACCAGCCAATGATGGGCTGAATGAGGGCGACCATCAGCCAATCACAAATGGTCTGAAAGGAGAGGACAAAATAACAGACCCCGTGGAAGTGGAGATGGTTTTAGCCTAGGAAAACAGTCACTCACTTTGAAAAGGGAAGAATAACATCGAGTTTTAAAAAAAAAGAAAAAACATTTAAAGAGAAAAGCCCTGAATTGACTCACTTGGTTTAGAAAATACAACCCCTTTCCAGGCAAAGTTATTTGTTATTTTCATATGTGTACGGTCCATCTAAATCAGCTTTGTAATGTAGCAGTCAGGCTTGCATTCTTCCCACTTTTCATAAAAGTTTGGCACATTTTAAAGTAACCTCTATATGGACACCAGGGGGCGCCAAAGATCGATTGCCTATTCTTTGCATATTTATTTTATCTGTGTTTTCACATTTACTCCATAAATGTTTGTGGTATTTGCAGGTGGCCTCTATGTTTCAACACAGTCGAGGAAATATGAACATCTATGTAAAAGTTTTAGATCTGGAGGGGGATTACATGTATTCACCACTACATGGAAGAAATTTGATGTTAGCTGAGTAGCATTCATGTTTATACAGCTTTATTGTAAATGTCTTAAAACGTGAGAATGAATATTTGTATTTCGATATGTGTGGTCTTATTTAACTGTCTTTCCGTAATCTGATATCACCCTCTTTGTAACAGCTTATTTGTGAGGGAGAGGGCATTCTCTTTGTAAATCATTAAAGGGCACCTTAAGTATGAATAGCCTTTGGTTCCTGGATTACACCAATTTGAAGCTGTACAATGAAAGAATTTTGTCATACAGTATGTGTTCTTTGACCATCAGCTCAAGTGATGAAAAATGATGCAAACATAAACATTTAGCTAACATCAGAGTTTCAGGCTTAATTTTACAGCTTCAGTTTTTAAAACTGATTTTTTTGTGTGAAAAACGTAGCCATGTTTTGTCAACAGTGAACACACCGATGGGCAGGTTCTTTTCTTTATTTGTTATTCAAACTCATAATCATCATCTTCCAAGCGCAATTGCATTCTGATTAAAAGCTTAATAAAAGAAAAAACAAGACTTAAGAAAATTCTTCTTTAGGACACAAATTTGCCCAAATGGAGCATCATATACTCCTCCCTGTTTATTAAACAAAATGCCATGTTGTACATGCAAAACCTTATCTCCTGTGTTTTGAAATGGATAAAATATTTGATAAACATTTTTAGTGTCAAGTTATGAGATGTTTTAAGTAACACAATTACAGAAAAAGAACACTAGCCATTTTATTATTTTTTTACTGACTTTGTCACATGGGACATCTTCTGTGAGATGTGGGAAATAACTCATAACTCCTCTTGGTTTGCCAACTTAAGCTTAACAAGATCCCATGATTCATTTCCTTTAACTACCATCTGACTGAATCTCCGTTCAGGGTGCAAACAGACTTTTTCACTCCATAAATGTGAAGTTCCTCAACCAGGTCACGCTGCTCTATAAACATTCTAAAACTAATATTTTAAACAATTACTGATGTCATACCACTCAAATTCTGTGTAATTCCTTAAAAAAATTCAAAGCAGTGAAATAGAAGAACGATAGAAAAGTCTTGACAGATCTATACAAACGACAGAAAAATGTCATGAGCTTTGGATGTGACATCTCTGAGATTAGCGGTTCCTCTGATGTGCACGAGTCAAATATCCCTTTTTGAAGATGACCTATTTCATTTCTCCTTTTGATTAGATAAAAAAAACTATATTTTTGTGTAGTGAGGCAACACTTTTGTTCAGAAACAGCACACTTTATCATTTCATGTGCAACAACCACAGTCTTTATGATCCTTTTTTTTTTTACATTGTTAATCCACAGGTTTAAAAAAAAAAAAAAAAAATTCCTTTTAACTCTGTATAAGAGAAAAAAAAGAGACCTTTCTCTTCATTTCAGTTCTTGACCGACACTATAGAATCACATCTTATCCAGGAGAGGGAACGAGATGAAGTAACCAAGGACAGAGCCCACAATGACCCCGAGAAAGATCCAAGTGTTGTAAGACATAACGCACAACATCAGCATGTAGCCCAGAGACACCTGCAAGATGTGGAGGACGGTCTGGATGACGTGCAGCAGCCAGCTGGAGGAAGAGGAGACAGACACTTAAAAATCAGCATGTAAAATACCTCGTTTAGCATTGATGCTAAAGTCATACTGATTTCAACACTAGAATCGGAACAGCATATTTCATGTTAGACAATGCAAAGAGTGGAATTTAAAGGAACCCTGACCTGTTCCGGTTGCTTAGAGGTGGAGTTGCTGGCTCGATGGTGGTCAAGGAGGACTCGGAGGGGCTGCTTTCTAGCACACAGGTGCTCTCGCTGCGGCTGGACGTAGGGACGGCGTATGCAGATGGATGCCGAGCAAACTTAGATCCACTGCCCAGCCATACCCTCGACACTTTGAGCAACTCATAAAAGACCGTCAGCAGAAAGACGACGAACACTGACAGCACCATGCCTGGATACAAAAAATTTAGATGAATGATGGGAAATACACAACCAAGTTATCTCAGATATCAGCAGGTCTGTCATCAAGATATATGATAACTAAAAACTGTCCCTTTCAGTCGCTCTGTTAGAAAGATACAGTTATGTAAAAAGAAACAACTGAAGGGGTCAATGATTCAGGTTGTAATACAAAAGGCATTCTGGTCAATATAAAGTTTTCAGAGTCAGTGGAAAATCTAGAAGCAGTGTGAAAAACTAAATCCACCTTTATTTCTTCCACTGGAATTAAAATGGGAAGAAGCAGAAAGAAATGTTGGCAGTTCGCTGCTCTGAAGCATGCGGCAGCATGTGTTAAAACAATGCCAAGGAAGAATGACATCAGCAATGATCTTACAGACCAGACTATCAGACTATGTGAAACTTAACACTATGTGACTCAGTTGACAGGTTACCTACGGTTGGTTAAAGTATGGTTACAAGAAAAAGTGCACAGAAGATGGCAGCACAGCTTAGGTTTGTAAAATTAGGTCATTAAAAATGGTTCAACCTAACCATTTTAAAAAAGTTAATATAATTCAACTAGTTGATCACAGAGTAAAAGTTGAAGTAAATGTATTGATTCTTTAAGGAAAAAGAAACCTAAACTAATATAAAATTGTCACACAAGGTGAATTAGACGAATAGCTGTGAATCCATGCTTCACCTCTTTAAATGTTTTTTTTTATGAATTAAAAGCTGAAAATGGGATCGAGGATTACACAACCTCAACTTTTCCTGTATTATGAGCAATGTCTTCTCCTGTGCGAACAGAAAAGCTCTCTGGTTGCAACCTACATTAAAGTTTTAACTTGATGAACTGGTTCTGGGCAGCTTCCACCAGGTCTGAAATAGGGGCTGGTCTATAGGTGCTTCACTTGCTCACCTGCTGGGCCATGGACATCCCAAAAGTCAAACAGCAGGGTAGCGCTGCTCGACCAGCCAAAGGTCATCTATACAGAAAAAACAAGACATTTGCAGACACATTTACCCATGTTACCAAGATTACCGACCAAAGGGTAGAGGCAGTGTTCGCGTCCATTCTTAGCAGCATCGCGAAAAGAATCTTATTAGAACAAATATCTATTCACTAGATTTTGCCCCACTATTCCAGGACATACTGCTCCACATAAGCACACTCTGTTCTCCACTGCTGGTGTGGATGTGTGACTGACAGAGGAATTCTCTGTGTGCCCAAGTGTGTGTTAGTCAGCAGGCAGCAGAAAAGCTCTCTGCCTGTCTTTCTGGGTAATCCACCACCTGTCTGGGCATGAGTGTCCTTCACCAGCTGCACACAGATAGGAGCCCCAAAAGGAGGCCCCTTTGGTATAAGTTTTAAAAGTTCTTTGAACCAGTATCGCCTCACAACCGATTACATTCTGTGCCCTTTTCTAATGGCTCTGCTTTGGTATAAAACCACAATTCCTATAATTCTGTGAATTACTGTCCATAATGAATTATCATCCTTGGAAAAATATTTTTTTCTTTTCTTTTGAGAGAAAAAAAAGGCAACAGACAAAGAAGAAATAGTGGTTTTTCAGGGGGAATTATTCTTTGTTTTGTCTTTAAACATGTTTTGATTTGTAATCATAATACAGAGAATGTGTGAAATCTGACAGGGATTCTGAAAGGGAGCAAACAATGAAACCAAGAAAGTGATAAGGAAAATTGAAATCCAGATGATCCTAGTCATCAGTATAACTCAGGTACAAACTCATCTGAACCCCCTGAGATAACTATCCGTTTATTTTCTTGGTGAGTGTGGAGACTGCAAAGCTTAGTTAAAATTAGTAGTCCAAACAAAGCGAGGGGATTTTATACTCCGTTTTGTCCCAAAATTTCCAAAAGAAATGCAGATGTTAATTTTTGAAGTTTTGTTGCCAAGGAGCCAAAACTTCTTGTCTCTTGATGTCTGCCATAGCAATACTGTAATAATGCTCTGGGCTTTTAGGTACTTTAGGTGAGTTTTATCAATGATGGCTATTACGACTGCTCGTGTTTAAAATTAATCATAGAAATATTTTGGTATCTCATTGTATCGCATAGTCCGTTATCAATTAACCATTTACTTTTTCCATTTAAAATGTCCCCCTGCAATCTGTAACAAGAACATTTGCTAGAATTCTGGTGTAAGAATACCACATTAGACATACATTTAAGTAACTCAATGCCAAACGCCCAAAGAGCAACAAGCTAAACCTAAAGTTATTTACAAATACGTCACGTTGAGAGCCATAACAGACAAAGAAAACTACAATGTTAAAACTTACGGACATCATGGTGGACTTGCTGACTAAATGCTTAGTGCCAGATGACTATAAATAAAGGTCCCATTGCGACGCACGGCCAGCACTAGCACTACACTGTCAAGTCGCAGCCATTGCTTAACTGTACCACCGCAACTGTATAATGAAGACTGCTCGAGTACCTCGTGATTTAAAGCAGCAGAGGCTCACGGGTAACGGAGTTTTTCCAAAAGCTAAAGTTAGCACCCTCCAGTCGTCACGGAAACAACACTTACTGTTCCGACGTTTTAAAGGCCAAATATAAATCTTTAATGAATAGTACAGAGCCAACCTTAACTAAAGTACCAGACGGTTTTCACATTTAACAAAAACCGTAAATCAAGAGCGTGTAACTGAGCATTCTTTGTTCATAGCACAAATAGAATCACGTGATGAACGGAAATAGCCGAGTGCGTTCGTTTAACTTCGGTAAATTGTACTTTGTCTAAAACGGAGATTTGAGCGCAACATTTGTGTTGTCTTAGTATGCGTGTTGTAATATTGAAATATTTTTTCCCCGACGTTTTCAGTTGAATGCATATCTTTCTTCATTAATCAATTGTGTTTAATTTGCAGTATAATCCAGTAAAATGTTTTGGTTTTCCTTCTTAGCCTCTTTTAACATGTCTGAAAAGAGAAAATTATTCTTAAAAGCTGACTGTACATGTAGGCAGGGAAACAGAAAAAACATGTAATAAGATTTTATTATTACATTGTACAGTACACCTTTGATTCTGCGCTGTTACTTGAAACGTGACATGTCCAGGTTAAGGTGCTACCATCAACATATGCATACTGCACCTGTAAACACTTTCAAGTAGAAAAATACAAAATGACAATTCATCTACACCAGAAGGGAAAGAAAGAATGGGAAAACAGAACAACAGGGCTCCATAAAGCTATAGTACCGTTTACTCAAGAAATCAACAGAACGAGGAGTGAAAAAGGCATCCTTAAACAACTTCAGGGAACTGCAGCTGCAGCACTTTTGGAAATTAGAGGAATTGCACATATTTTGGAAAAGGAAGTTTTACAGGTCAAAGTTTTTAAAAGCTACATTTGGATGTTTCAAGTGCACTTGGCACAGTCCATTAAAGACGACTCAGGAGTGCACTCTGATGTCTTCAGTAGAAAGTGGACCACATCAAAGTTCACGGAAGTGTTGTCAGGAATTCAGATCCCTTAAGGCATACAGTCACATCACTGCTGCAACATAGCATTGTTTGGGTGACAAAGCCAAATATCAACAAAAAACTACTTCCTGGAACCACTGAGAACATATGTTATTTGTTTGTGTGTGACTGAATTTAAAGAGGACTTTGATTATTAAAAAATGTGAGAAATGACACAAATAAATTCTAACAACAACATTCAACACAGCGCTATAAGTTTCTCAGTGGCACTGGATTTAAGGGCCTTTAAAAGCTTTAAACATCTACGTTATGTGGAAAAACATCACTCTATATATTAGGATTCATATGTTATCAATGACAGAAAATAAAATTAATATTCAAACTCAGAAGAATATTTCCAGACAGAAGCAATACTCTTAGAATTTCACTTTGTTTATGGTGATTTTATCTTCTCAGATAATGGGATTACAAGAGGAGAAAATCTATCCTGATTTAGAAATGAAGTTTGGGTACAAAAGACATTACACACAGAAAGTCTTACAAAGACATACAGCAGATATTCTCTTTATATACACAAATTCACGTAGCCAAAAAGTGCTGTGCTGTGCACGCTTGTCAACAGCTAACAGATCTCACTGTAAAATGACAAGGACGTTAAGGCAACAGACACCCTTCTATGGAATCTGGACACCCTGGAAACGTATGTGCTATTAATAACAGAAAATTTACTGTATTTAATGTGAACTAATACAGACACAGGGATGTGGTTCAAGAAATCAGTCTGGACTGATGACTACAGTATGTTTCTGATTTTAAGGCCCAGCAGACTTAAAGTCTGTACAATAACTTAAACAGGAGGGCAGTGAGTGGCTGCTTGTTATTTAACATCCTATTGAGCTGCAGGGAAAGGATGGCTCGTCTGCAGATGAATGACCCCTGAAAGCATGGAAGTTATAGGAAGCGTCTCATTCACATGAACCAGCACAAGATGGCAAAATAGAGAGCAATACCCATATTCCATGCAGAGTGTTTACTTATACTCGGCACATCAAGGGTATTTTAAGAAGCAGTTTGTCGACATAAACATTATGCTACAGAAAAAACAAAGTCTTTCTGGTCGTTGATATTTGTATAATTTAAAAAAAACGTGCTGTTTCTCAAAACAGAGTTTTCCCCAAATCCCTGTTTTTCTTTTAAACTCCTACATGCAAGAATAACACACTTGCTCCAAAAGAGAAAGAATTTAGAATTAAAAAAAAGTATATGCTATAATCACAGTAATATCCTCCATACAGGAGATTTTGGGGTCCTTCCTTCTCATTGTTTTGTGCATCACCTTGCTGTCAAGATGCACATATGAACAGAAAAGGTAAAATTGAGTAAAGCTCAACCTGGCAGACGATGAGGACAGTAGAGACACAAACTGAAACATATTAATAACCACAGAAAACAACACAAGAAAAAAAAGGCCAGACTGACAAGTCATGTCAAAAGGAATCAGTGGCTAAAATCTTTACAAAGGCATCACAGATGCGACAATTTATTGAAAAAGAATAAGATCCCCCCCCCGTATTCCAAGAATCCAACATGTCCAGTCACTGAACATCAATAACTAAATGCTGTGACACACTTTTAGGCACAGTGATGTTCACCACTTCTGTCTGAATTTACCAGGCGGGACATGTAAAGTGAAATTTGAATTCTTATAATAATAAGAAAATTTCCCTTTTTGTTACTCAGGAGAGGACAACAACAGAATAATTTGGGGCTTGGAGAATGGAACTCTCATCTACCCTTTTTCATTCAGCACTCCCATGTCTGGATTTGCTGTACAGTCAATGCAGACAGATGTTGGTGGAGGAAACCATGATGCTTCTGTTGTTCTCTACTGTTCACTGTTAAAACTGGAGTTTACACTACTGCAGCTTTCCTCGTAAGTTGGTGGAGGCTCTGTAAAACACAACGAAAATTAAGTCATTGGTTATCAGCATGAGGGGACAGACACGGATTAGCATGATAAAACTAATCAAATACATTATTATATTAGTATACAATACTATATTTAATATCATTATTGTCCCTGCGTCAGAGTCTCAGTTAGCCACCTCAACTTTTAAAGCCTCTTAAAAGCTTCTCTGGCCACTTACAATGTGACACATCCAATGCAAATGATGCTGAGCATGTGTTGATTACACATATTCAAATCCTTTATATGTACAGTAAATAAGAACAATTCCTCTATTTAGTTTCTTCTCTCTGGTGGTAATTGTCTTTACATATTTTTGTATACAAGAAGTAATGAATAATCTTATACTTGTTAAGATCTCAGGCGTTATCCCACACTACTGCTTAATGTTTTTTGGTGGCGATGAGGTGTCTTTTTCGGATTCTTCTCTAGCTTTACTTAGTGACAAAACTGTGCAGACTGACTGCTGCCTGCTAGCAATGCATTGGCCAAGCAGTTCTCTCCACTTTCTACAAAACATGACATACCTATTTCTTAGATCCTACAAAGGAAACAGTCAGTTTTAACAGTAAAATCAGATGCAAATATCTGCCTGGAACACATTCTTGAAACACTAACCATGTGGGTAGTCGCAGCTGCTGTATTCTGGAGGAAGAATGAGCGAACAGGAGGTGGGGATTGGAGTCACATTTTCCTCAGTGAAGAAAGGGATGGTCGCTCCAGTGGACACGCAGAACAGCGGTGCTGACGCCTCCTGCTGTCTGTGGCCGGGAGGCAGTGCGGCGCCCGGCGTGTGGCTGAAGGCACTGGGGGACATGGTGACCGGCTGCCCTGACGGATCCTGCTGCGAGTGACTTTTAGTAGGGAGCTCTTCGCTAGCAGTTCCGCCGGCGCACAGCTCATCATCCAGACCCTCCTCTGCTGGCGGGGCACTGGGAGTCACCCCTGCAGCACCACGTGCAACAGCTGGGCTGCAGAGGTCCGGACGAATGGGCATCGATGCGGACAAGTTCACGGGGATGTTCCCGATGTAGATCGGCAGGGTGACGATGGCTTCTGGGGATTTTAATGACACCTGTAACACAGACAGGAATTCATTTAAGGTTTTTTCTGGGTGGTGCTGAGTATTGCTGCAGGGCAGTTTGCAGAATTCTGTTTATTGATATTTTTGCAAATATTTTAAACATTTTTCTTTTACAGTTGCTTCTTAATAGGATGCAAAATAAAGAAAGATAATGTTGGGGAAACTGAAATAGCACATGTAAATATATCTTAAAGCAATATTGCTAATTACAATAATAATACTATTACAAACAGACAAAGCTCCAGAATGAGTCTACAAGAGTATCTCCTTAATAATTCAGTGCTTCCAAGTCACTCAATATTGTACAGATGCATGTTGCTAGCCACACACACACACAAACAAACTCAATAACCTGAATGAAATAATCGATGTCTATGAGGCTGCAGCCGGCAAGTGCTGACTGAGGAAGAGGAGGAACAATGATCTGCTCCCTCCACTCGGCGTGTTTTCCTGCCTTCACTCCGGCTCCCTCCACCTCCGCGATGGCACGCAGGTCAACCACGGGCCGCTTGGCTTTGTATGTCACTTTCTGGCAACACAAGCGTACAGACATGCTTACATTTCAGAAAAAATGTGATGGCCATTGCAGTACTTGATGTCATCTTTCCTGATTTTCAAAAACAAACAGATATTTCTAAAGATGACTTACCTGCATGAGACTGGCCAGTACATATCCAGTGTCTTTCCCAGACTTGTTGTGGATCTCAGTGGCTAACTTGATGACCTGACCCGGTATGTAACCCTTCATGTCACTTTGAGTTTTCAGCATCAGGGTCCCCGTTTTCACCAGGAGGTAGCTGAACTTCTTCGTGGTAAAAGCATAACTCTGATGCTGCAGTAACAGAGGTTTGTGCTGTTAATAGGTACAAGGGCTTTATTGCCTTAGGATCTGCTGGTTATTCATCATTCTTTGTTCGTTGAATCATAATGTTAAGGTATTCTATAGTAAGAAAGAAGGGGCAACGGAATTCATGCTACATCATCTTTTCTTCTTCAAAGTCAAACAAGCCTAGATAAACCCAAAAGCTTAAAAATAAGAAGAAATGCATTCAACCGTTTAACATTTTCCCACCTTTTCTATCCAGTCCATCTGTTACTCAGCAAGAATAGAAAGGATGAAACATGAGCATCAAGGTGATTGACAACCATAAAGGAATTTGAACCAAGCACTTACTCCGATGTCAGGGACCTCATTGAGGTTGAGAGGGTTGAGTAGGTAGAAGGGCCTCTGGGCTTTGTAGTCCTTGGAGAAGCGGGGCGTGTCAATGGCCGCCTTTACAAGGTAAACAACTTTTCCAAAGGGTCCCTCAAAGGAGGTTGGGACAGAAACTGAGGAGAAACACACGCACAGATAATAAGACATGTGAAACAAATAAAATAACTCCCGCTGTGAAACAGAAACCCTAATGATGTCTGATTGCTTTTTGTTTTGTGTCCAATGACATCAACTCTTGATAGGTGTTTGGCTATCTTGTTTTAATTTGATCGTGTGACAGCTCATGGAGATGCTCTCTATCAGGGTTGGGTGAAGCTAAAAAGGATCTTTAACAAGGCCTGTCTCTACTCTCTAGCAGTCTTGTCACTAGATATAGAAGTTCTGTCAGGCTGATCCCTTCTCATTGTGTCCCGAATGCATAGGCAACAGTGTTTTTGGGAGTCAAAGAAAAATACACTGAAGTGGATGAAAGAAAGAGGAACAGCTGAAGGGGGGACTTGTAAGAATAGAGGAATAAAAATAGCTATTTTTGATTGGAGCAGAAAGACAGCAAGGAGGAAGATATTACTTAGAGCCAGTGGAAATGAGGACACTTCTGATAATCACATCCGAACAAAAAATCTACAAAAAGATGTATGATGTTTTGTGAAAAGAAACTAAGGAACTCCTGTCTTCTGCTATCTGATAATTCTGTTCCTTCTTCCCAGGCTCCTATTTGTTAATGTTATTGAGGAGGCACGGTGCTCCAGGGACAATCCGTCGCTGCTGTCAGTAACGATTACCCAGGAGAGATGGAGTCTGGCTGTTTCTTTGCGGCTCAAACTGAGACACAGATGGAGTGACAGGGGAAAGACAAAACACACCAGACCACCTACCCCTGTGGACACGCAACACAGAGCGGCTGAGAAAAAACCTGACTTGATCATCCGATTCCAAATAACGTAAACTATCTTAGTGAGTATTTTGAGAATCAATTGTTGATTTACAGGTAAAATAAATCAATACAGAGAAACTTGATTAAAAAAATGCTGTTTGCAGGAAATAATCTAAAGAGGCCCTGGGTGTGAGGCGTCCCCTTTGGAATGAGTACATTATCTTTTTCCATCTATTATTTTCTGGACTCATGCCTTTTTTTTCAATTTCTTCATTCCCCACTGAAGTATGAAAAACACCTGGTACCTTCACTTCAGATGGTTTAAGGTGCTGAAATGAAGACGGACATGCTCGTTAAGTGAGAAACATTCACACAAAGGGACACAGAAAATTTGCTAGGTTTCCATTTTTGGGGAAGTTTACACATGCGGGTGATGTCAAACACCATGGTATTGTGCCAAAAAGAAAAGATAAAAGAGGGATTTTCCATAATGTCCCACCCTTAAATGGAGGTGTTAAATAATGGAAAAAAGGAGAGTAAATGTATCACATCATTGAAACGTCACTCTTAGGAATGCCGTCCAACACGTCATTTAATAATGTCTTCATAAAGGTTTTAATTTAAAGTTTTATTAAAAATATTTATATTACCAATATTTTTTAAATTAATGAGGCATAACAACATATGATGTACATGCTGATGGAGGTAGATGGTGCTGATCTACATGAGGTTCTGTGTGCTCTCTATGTTATGTTTTTTTTATGTTTATGCATTTAGCAGAGGCTTCTATCCAAAGCGACTTAAAAAGTAGAATACATACATGTGTATCTCATCGTGGGGGGAATTGAACTCCGGTCTCCCATGTGACTTGCGGGGAAACTCCCCACTATACTAACCCCCACCCTAACCCCCCGCCATTGTTGAAACCCCTAACTGTTTTAGGATTAACGTTATAGGAGGATTCAAATGTCAGCAGTTTGGCATGAACTAACAGAGGGAGAGACTGCTGCCTCAACCGGAGAAGGATGTTGAGAGATCAGTGTGATGCCAGTATACAAAAACTTCCCACAGTGAGTGGTGTCCAGCATTCAAAGGCTCTACCCACCACACAAAAATGAGCAAGTGGAATCGCTATGCAATATGAAAATAACACCAGTAGAAAGGTAACTGAAAGGACACTCTGGATCAAAATTAAACATAGCAGATGGCAGCCTGGTTAGAAGTGCCCCAGCTACGTCAGCAGGGGGCAGCAGTGCAAACTTTGCCCTATGAAAAGCCACTTACCACTATATGGTGGCTAACATGCCCTGTGCAAGACCAAAGGCTTGTGGGGAAGGAAGGATGAAGCACAGGAGCACGAAGACCAATTAAACAGTGACTGCACAACAGGATAGAAAAAAAATCCAAGCCTTGTGTACTGCCACCCACACACGAAACAGTATCGGCAAGCTAGAGGACACAGGTGTTCATGTTCAGCTACCCTTCTTCCACTTGACTGTCAACGCAGGAATTTTCAGTTAGAGCATTACAGGCTTGGTTGGGAATAAATAGTTTCCATCCACCTGCTCCACCCTGCGCCGTTTAAACATGAACTGTGTCACGTCCTTCAACGTCTAAGGTATCAAAGATCTGAGAGTGAGTAATCCAGGTTAGAAGGCAAAGGTCTTGGAGCTATGCTTTCTGAGTAAGCAGAAGTTATGACCTGCTTGTTCCCTCCCCTGACGTCACCCTCTTCTCTGATAAGAAAATAAACAGGTATGTTTGACAACACTTACAGGAACAGAGGGCGCGCCTCTGATAAAGAGTTAGACTCACCTGGAAGGAGAAACTGAAATGGGAAATTGTGTTCGCCCGGTGACAGAGTCCCTGTAAAACAGAGGGGTTTGTGAGCTTCACAGTGTACAGACAAGAAGAGAAGAAAATGCAAATGGCCTTCACTGTAAAAATGTGACATTTGTCATGTGTTGTGTCCATGATACTACTTTTATTATACTTGTGAACACAGTGCACAGTGCCCTCGGGGCTCACCTTCATTCTGAGTGGACGGAATTTCTGACAGAAACAGACTTGGCTATGCAAAGACAACTCTGACAAGCTATCCTCTGTAGTTAATGAAACTGGCAACTCAAACCAATCACAAAGCGTCACAGCAAGTCACCAATGCTTTATTGAAAAACAGCTGACGTGTGCGGCCAGCAGAGTTCGGGCATTTTTCCTCTGGAGAGTTAAGAAATGGATTGTAGACCACAAGCGGTCAAATTAAGCCTTGGTGTTGTCTGTTGAAGCTTTGACATTGACAGGCCACCATCAATGTACAAAGCCTTTGTTTTCAGATTATAGTTAAGATATGGATTCTTATTCTATCTGTCAAAGTACCATAAAATCTCACAAAAATATCTGCTTTTTTATAACATGTAATCTCAGTTTAATACAGATTCAGATATTTTAAAAAAGGTTGACTGAGTGAAAAAGCAGACAGATCCGTGTATTTACTTGAATGGACGAAGATGGCTCGTCTTTTTTTTTCCTGGCCAGCATTGTAGAACAAATGAAAACAATGTGCCAATGTGCCCTTTGGTTGTCAAAGAGTCCTTGACATTGCAACTAACTAACTGCAGTTTCTGGTATTTTATCTATGATTTGACATGCATGGCATAAAATAAGACTGGTATGTGGATTATTTTCACATGACCAAAGCTAAGGCTGGTTGTTCACCAAGAATGTAATTTTACAGATATGTTTGTATCCTTAGTTTATCATGAAAAAAATGGGATGAAAAAAGGTTCCTATGAGTCTTTGCACCAACACCCAAAAATATTTCACAAACAATTTATCTACCACCACAAAAAAAGGCATGATGTTGAAACATTTTCTTATCACAAAACTTACAAATCGGCATCAACACCCTCAGCACAATGTCACAGCTTGCTTTTGGCTACTGCAATTACATGCACCGTTTACTTCCATTAAATATTATCTCGACACTCAGAGCTTGAAGAGACATAGAAGGCCTTTGTGTCCCTGCCACACTCTAAGCACCTTGAGCCAACCAGCTTATTAGTTTACTAGATGAGTCGTTGGACCAATTAAAGTCTCCCAGACAGCAACATGTGTCACCTCATTAAAAATAAGCGCAGCTTTTTTTCCATAACTTCTTAAGACCTTGCCCGTGTGAGCATGTGTGATCGTTTGCATGGTGTTTACAGCAAAAAGAAAGAAGCTGTGCTCTGTGCTGCTGCACATGGTCAGAAAGCAGAGGAAATCAAGTCAAAGAGAGGTGGTTGAGGTTATATCAGTAACAGTAAGATATCACCGCGTGGCAAACCCTGCTTAACCTATATTTAAGGTTTAATATCTCTCTTAATCTTGTCATTTTTTTCTCAGCCCTCTCCGTCTCGCTTAATGTCACAGTTTAAAGATTTGCTAGTTTACTAGGTGAAGGTCCATTTTTGACATATTTCTCATTAACTTTACAGTATTACAAAGCTATAAGGTTCCAGTAAAAACGCACTATAATGTGGGATAATCTATAAATATGTTTGAGGGGAAAAAAAACAGAAGTATGATACATTCCCAAAGTAATATCATGCAACAAGTTTTTAAAAACCCGAGTTTTAAGAGTACCTAATATTGAGATAGTTTTACTGAAAAGTTTTTATGCAATCCAGCTCAGTTTTAGCCACAATGTGAGACAGGGTTACCTGAAAGAAACAAACAAATCCAAGTCTCCAATCTATGAAAATCCAATGAACTGTAATCCAACAAAACTAAATTCCGAAAACCAAATCAGTCCAATTCATGTAAGGCCAATTCAAATAGAGTTATCCGACAAAAAAACTAAAAAAAAGTGCTAATGACACTCCCCTGTTTTGAGAATGTACATGATTACTGAATTAAACATTACCAAGGAATACTGCAGAAAACAAGTGGTTCACAGATGTCACTTTCTCTCCAGTGAGACTACACTACCAATGACCACAGTGGCAGGAAGACTCTCCCTCCTGATGGTCATTAGCTGAGAAGCTGACATCACTGGTCTTTAGTCTTCCAACTGCCAAGCATCTGTGGCATACCACATTATCAGTCAGCCACAGCGAGCTTCGCTTACTGTCTGTGAATGTGTGTGTGGTGATCCTCTGTCACCCTTCCTGTCACTCTCTTTCCAATTTGGGAGGAGAACAAACCAAGGGAAAAGCAGGGGGTGAGCAGAGAGGGGTGGTGCCGTGAATTCTTTCTGTACTCTTCTGTTCGGATTGTATCTGCTGTTGAACACTAATGGTATGTGGTTGGGTACGTGTTGAATAAGGTTTTTCTAACACTTATGGTATGTGGTTGGGTACGTGTTGAATAAGGTTTTTCTATCACTTATGGTATGTGGTTGGGTACGTGTTGAATAAGGTTTTTCTAAGACTATTACTTTTAAGACAGGGATAATGCTGTTTAATCACACTGAATCACACAGCAGTCTTTGACCATTCCAAAAAACCTCATTTGGAATATCTGTGACTTTCAGCTGCTTTATTCATTGCAGATGTGTCATTCATTTTTTTTCCTTTTACTATTGAGCAATCAGAATTTTTAAACTTTAGTGAAGCCGAAGTAGAATGAAAGCAAGTCCAAGCAACCCAACTTCACACAGATGGAGGGTATTTTGTGCAAGTAGTTTCTGGCAGCTACATGTTGTGCTGCTTTTTAAGCGGTTTGGGTCACATGCACCAGTGCCAGTCATTAACCTCCACTTGGTGCTTTGCATTTACAACACATTTGATGCATCGTGGCATCTCTCACCTGCTGGGGGTTTTATAGCAAGACAATGATTGAATGAAAATATCAAAAAATCTTACCCCATCTTACCCCCTTTATGGTGGAACATGTCTCCAACTGATTTCCAATAAAATAAATATGATTGAATGTAGGATAGCTTTACTCACAGCATATAGAGTTATGATGATAGGTATCAAATTCAAATTGAATGTGAATGTTTTTGCCCTGAAACGTTCCATGTGTTGTGTCCACTGTGAGGGAAGAGTTAACTCATAGTGTCCTGTTGCCTAGACGATGTGAGAAGGCTGTTCATATACACCTCTCTACAATCCCAGAACTAAAAGGAGAATTAGCTGCTTTCAGCGACTACGAAGCTTTTGCAAATACAAAAGAAGAAAGTCTTTTTTTTAACTTCACAAATTTAGTGTTATCACCTTTGTCAGCCACAGACAGCATGCTGTTGAAGTACTGCTCCTCCAGACTCCATGCAGTGTCGTTCATTTTGTTGGAGATCCCACATGAGCCATGACAGTTCACCTTGATGGCTGCGGAGAGAGGAGGAAAGGTCAGAGCGTTGTCTGAAATATTGCCTCATGTGGCTTTATATTCACACTTTTCTAAGTAAACACGAGAAACTGGTGCTACAAACAAATTGACAGACCTCAGTGAATCATTTCCTATATTCAACACTTACACTTCTAGTACTATGATCCTTAGGGAAATGGACCGTACTGAAGTGCAATTTCCCCTAAACATGATTGGATGAAAGTCTATGGAGATCAGGTTCAGGTTTTCAGTGAGTTTTGTGATAAGTATCATCCCTACATAGATCAGTGAGCAGTACTGACCAACATATCACTGGGGTCATCAGGTGGGAACCTCCATTCATCTGTGTTTAGTCTAGCTGGGCCAACGATGCTTCCGGGAGGCTAAACCGTGATCACAGGCATCCCAGAGTCACTTCCCCAATGCCAGCCATCACTAGATCTACCACTACAACAACTATGCCTTCTACCACAAAAAGCACTGTGATCACCCAAGCCTCTAACCAACAGCACTGGACAATACACCTGATCAACAACCAAACTCTACCTAAGGCCTGCTATAAATCCAAAATAGTCATAAAGAATACAAACAAGTACAAAGCCACACATGCCAACTTCCCTAAAATGGGTGCCTGCATTTTGTAAGCAATTCCCTCCAATCAAATACATTTTAAATGCATCTAATCTGCTTAAATATGAAGTTGAAACACAGCAGTTTAAGTAAATAGGTGTAGATTATCTGTTTTTGCAGCATTCAAACTGTCAAATACTATAGTTTCTCTAAAAAGGAAGTTCTCTTTTGTTATTATTATAATTTTGTTGTTCAATTGAAAGCAATAAAGTAATTTGTTGGAAGTCTGATGGTGCCACAATCCAAAATTAATAATAAAAAAAGCAAAAGGACAAATAAATTATCTTCTAAGATTACAAACTGTATTTTTTTTATTAGAAAAACAATATATGTCATAATAATTTTCTTCCTTAATTTGAATCTGTATTCATTTATGCTATTTATGCTATGTTTATTTAGTAACTTATGTATTCAAGTATTTATTTTTGATTGTGGCAGCCAAGCAAAACAAAAACAATCTGTAACATTTGAAAATTGAGTGGGGAAAAAACAAACATGTCAGCCTAAATCTTTTATCATTCACATGGTACATTCTTAGTAAAACAAGATAGTTCTGGCAGAAGACAAACAAAACAAAAGTACCATAAAATAAATTATCATGAAAATGGTTCACCAAAAGAGACAGCCTCCTAAATCATGCAGTGGAAATATAAACTGAAAAGAGGGGGTGGCGTTTGTGTCCGTCTTCAGATGGCAGGAATCACTTTATTAGTAAGAGACTGAGGAGGTGAGCACTAATAGAGGTAAGCTTACTTCAGATTTGACGAACGTTATAGTCAAGTTCTACCTTCATTTTGCTTAATTTTGACAAAATATAACCAAATCACGCAAAGCTAAGGCCAATGCCACATCAACGCAAAAGGTGAGGCGAGCACAAGAGAGGGCAGAGGTTTGTGTTTCCATGTATAGCTGCTCCTTTACGTCAAGATAAGTTATCGTTCATCGTCTGCTGAAAGATGTCACACTAAAACTGCAAGTTACAGCACCAGGACACCAACACTTTGGGGAGAAAGGTTTGGTCAGCTTCGGGGAAGGGACTGCAGGTTTGTAGCTCAAACCCAGCTGTGCTCGTCCACTGGCTCTCATCCCCTCCCACCTAAATCTCCACTCGGCCTCTCTCTTGATTTATCTGTGAGGAAATGATAACTCTGATAACACGCACAAACAAACACATACCAAAAATGTGACAGACGCCACAGGATTAAGTGGATAGGGGGTGAAGGCTGAGCTTTATACCTCTTAAAAAGAAGACAGAAAAAAACGTTATAAGAGGCTAATATTGATGTCAGTGTTTTGCCTACAACTGAAACACAACTATGGTGTGAGGCAAATACGTCCAAAGACGGTGTCCAAGCAACCGTGCAGTCACACCCATGCAGTTATCAGAATAGACTCGCATGTATAAACATACACACGCACGCTCTCAAAGGTGGCAGATGGCTGAGTGCGGCACACCAGCAGGGCTGCTGGCACGGTTCGGAGTAAGAGGACGGGCCTTCACTGCCGGTAGAAATAAAAACCTAAAATCCGCAGCTCATCAAATGGGGCAGAGCCCTCCATCTGACTGACATGCATTTAAACGGATGGGGACTAAACTCACCATCTGTCTCAGTCATAAAACACAATGCCGACCTCTCATCCCTAAACTCTCCATAGGAGCAATGGTACAAATGCAAATCACCCATATACAATGGAGAGAACAAAGCCATTACTGCATGGAGGTATTGTTTACAGCTGTCTGTTGTGGAATCGGTAAGAGCTCGGCTCAGCACATGAAAGGTCAATGCAGGGATAATCTGTTAATATCCCCAGCAGCAGCAGCACAGCTGAATGCAGTAGTTCTGTCACAGGAGAGAATAATGGGTTGGCCTTCCCACAGAAAGATAGAGCCAGATGGAACAGGACCAATGAGAACATGTCTGACAAGACGCTCGTCCAGATACAGAGATGATGTGTCACCGCATTGCGCCACAGAAATAACCAAAGCTTCTCTTTTATCTATCATTTCCCCTCTGTATCCAGGACACTCAAGTATATGTCAGAAAAAAAAAGAAATCCAATGTGGCAGATATCAAACTGACACTGAGCCCGGTGTCATTTTATAGCAAACGTGGAGGATACCATGAAGGATCAACATTCAAATATAAACACATAGACAATTATGAACAAATAGACCATCAAAAAATGTATGAAAAAGTGTTAAGTACACTTTTTCATAAACTAGTACAAGAAAAATAGTAAAACTTTTTTTTTCTAAATGCTAAATAGTATTTCAAAAGAACAAATGTGCAGATGGTTATCATTTTTGCACGCTGACGCTGTTAAAGATCTTTATTTCCTCACAAAGTGTGGCTTCCCCTTTAACTTAAATATCTAAGCACTATTTTTTGTATTCACCTCTAAACAACATACATTTTGAGACAAACAGGAAAAAAAGCAAAAATGATTGTGAGAAAAAACACCCAACAAAACCATGAAAGAGATATTTTTCATAGTGGAGCACACAGTGTACTATGAAGAGATTAAATTGTTTGAATAAGAAATGTTTTGTTTTATTACAAACAATTTCTTTCCCTTTGATGGAAAAGCGAGACATTGTTATTAGATGTGATGTGGGGCAGTTATTCAACTATCTATGTCTTTATAAGATATTTTTTTAAAGATATTTCTGACTATCTTGAAACATGAAGAGAGAAATGTGTGTCAAATTTGGACCTCAGTTCAGGATCCTGTCATCTCTTTTTTTTTTTTTTAAAGCAGTTCTATTGTCTGCAGCCCGGCATTATGGACTCTTAACACTGGGAAGAAGCATGCAGTATACAGTAACTCTGTACGGTGCCATTGTATATGCAACAGAAACTCTCAGATGAAACTTCCTGTTAGAGGGCTGCGTGTATTTCTTCAGAAACTGAGACAGCGACCACAATGCAGCCAGTCTCGGATGATGAGAAAGAACGGGAAAAATGGCCACCTGCTATACCAAAATATGGGAGTTTGGTTACAGCAATCGATTGCTAAAGAAAAAAAGAGGAAAGAAAAGCATGCACAGGTAACACAACTGTTGAGGAGCTATCACAGACACTTATGCCAGGGGCTAAGTCCTCCACAGAAAAATCACAGCAGACCACGCTCTGACTCAGCAGCTGCCTGGCTGGATTTGCTGGCAACGCTGTCCACGTTTCCCTCCTAATCTCCTCAGTGAGCATACGTAGGAGGTGATGATCTCAGTGCTACTAATTGTTCGGTTGCATGCGTGAGTACACAGAGAAAGTATTTTACAAAACACAACTGCAAGGTTGTGTCGTATCAAGCACTCCTTTGTAAAGATCAGTCAAACATTTAAGCAAAAACTAAAATATAAATATTATCTTTGAGTTATTTTTGTTGACCAGAAGCTGTTGATAAAAAAACATGATCTCTTGTGGAAATTTTTGTCTTCGAAAAAGAATGACATGCTACTTAATACGTTGCTGTGCTGTAAGGACTCTACACAAAGAAGTTGGTTACATGATCCGCATTTCCAAACAGACACAAAACAAACCCAAAAAAAAAACGAACAAGAAAACATGCCGGCTCAGTACGTGGGAAAAATTTGTGAGGGTAGAGGGGAAGCTGAGCAGATGATTGTCCTTCCTTATTTACACTCCATTAGTCTGAGTTCAGTTTTTGCTGACAGAGACACAAAGAAACCCCACTCAGCTTGTTTGACGTTTTGATGCGACGAGAATGAAAAAAATAAAAAACAAGAGGGAGTAATCGCTCAGTCAAAACAGACCTGGGGTGGAGTTGGGGGGGGGGGGGGG